CCCATGGAGTTCGCCGACAGAGCCAACAGGTCTGCAGATGATGCAATCAACTTAGCTCTTCACTTCATCCTGCATCACCTGGACTCCCCAGGAACCTATGCTAGAATCCTGTTTGGGGATTTCAGCTCATCGTTTGGAACAATGTGTCCAGACCTTCTCCAGGACAAACTGGCCCTGCTGAATGTGATTGACCCCATCTGCCGGCCACAACTTCCTGACAGAGGCTGGGAAGGAATGTCTCAGACACTCAGACCATTAACTCTGGCACCTCCTGGGCTGTGTCCTCGCCTCTCTGTTCTTCTCCCTATACACCAACTGCTGCACCCCCAGCCACTAGTCTGTGAAGCTGGTCAAGTTTGCAGATGACACCACCCTCATTGGCCTCATCTCAGACTGTGACGATTCTGCCTACAGGAGGGAGGTGGAATGTCTAGCGTCCTGGTACACCAACAACAACCTGGAGCTGAATGCCCAAAAGACAGGGCAGTGTCAGCTCCACTAACCCTGATAACCCAGAACCCCCATATGAACCATGGACTCCTTCCGCTTCCTTAGGACCACTATCACCCACAACCTCACGTAAGAGATGTCCATCAGCACCCTCATCAAAAAGGCCCAGCAGTTATTGTTCTTCCTGTGGCAGCTGAGGAAACTCAGAATGCTAATCATGATGGCCCAGTTCTACATGACCATTACGGAGTCCATCCACACCTTCTCCAGACCACTGCCAGGAAAAAAGCACAGACTAGCATGTTGTGTGTTCAGTTCAACTCAAATTCAAAGATACTTTATTAATCCCAGAGGGAAATAAGTGTTGAGCAGAAAAGGTGATTGGCTGTAGCCTCTTATCAATCCATGACCTGTACACCTCTAGGGCTCTGAGGCGTGCAGGTTAAATTGAAGCTGACCCCTGCCATCCTGGTCATGGACCGTTTAAACCACTCCCCACAGGCAGGAGGTTCAGGTCCATTTAGACCAGAACCTCAAACAAAAAGAGCTTCTTCTCCTTTGCTGTGTGACTCCTGAACACCAAATAACCATTATAACCATACAGATGTGCACTAGTCACTTTGTTTCTTATGTTCTTGCGTTTATTATTCATAATCATTTGGTGAAGCATCCTTGTTTGCGCTTGCTTCCTTTGCACTTTTGCACCATTCCACTGAAGCAAATTCCTAACAATGTGAGACTCTCACTTGGCAATAAAACATTAGTCTGGTTCTGATATTCCGTATAAAGGTAGCTGCCATTCAGCTTTACGCTACAACCCTGAAACAACAGAGCAGCAGAACCAATATTAGCTGATGTTTTGGTTTCCTGTTCATTTCAGTAGGACAGAATAAGTTTCCTTCTATAACCTTACATAAGGAAATGGTGGAATACTGATGTCGGACGATGAGTGCTGCCCTTACCAGGATCCTGGATCGTAAGTGAATGTCCACCAGATTTCTGGCCCTCTTTGTACTTCTGCTGCTTTGAGCGAATTCTCTGCATTCTGAAAAAAGGAGTGGAACATGAAGAGCTCAGCAGAGCTTATTACACTTCATCTCCGGGCCAAACATTTTCTAGAGTAAAGTCTGCACTTGCAGTGTATAAACGTACGATTTTTTAAGAAGTGTCAGTGATTTCCTCTCAGTCTGCTGGTGGCACTTAATGTTCTTCATTATGCTGGCTCTGAAAAGCTCAAACCCTCTAGAAGAAGAAATCAGCTGTTAACACATTAATCCATCTTATCAGGGTTGCATACACAAGAACCATCTGCAACAAGGACTAAAGCAGTTTGAAGTTTTCATTGATGCTGAAATATGAAACTTTTTCATTTAGCAAGAAGATAGCAGTTAGATGGCGACACCCTTAATTTAGTCTACAGAGAATTTATGGGGCCCATGGGCATGAAAAAGCTGGTCAGACACCCTCCCCCACCAAATTTTTTTTTTTATTACATGAATGCAAACTGTACACTTGGGAACCTGCCATGCCCCCCCCCCCCCCCCCCCCCCAATGGAACGGAGTTCACGGCAACTAGTTACCAAGCATTGCTAAACAAACATAAGATAAGACACGAAACTTCTGCTCCATATTCCCCTCATCAGAACGGGACAGCAGTACGGGGCTGGAGGGCACTCTTTGATACGGGAAGGTGTATGCTCCTAGAGAGTAAATTACCAAAAGAGTTTTGGACATACACGATTCAAACTGCGGTCATTGTGAGCAACAGGTGTTTCAACAACAGGACAGGACAAACACCATATTTTATGTGGACAGGGAGAAAGCCCAATTTATCCAGGATGCAGAAATTTGGCTGTGAGTGTTATGCCTATAAACAGGACAAAGGAAAGTTGGATTCCAGATGCACAAAGGGTGTTTTTGTAGGCTACGATAAAAATAGTCCAGCATACTACATACAGCACAAGTTTACTTCCCGGACAGTGCTAAAGTGCAGAAGTTCAGGCTGGTCAAGTTTGTGACCAGAAACGGTGAAGAAAAGCAACTGAAAGACATGGCACCTGGGGATGAAGACATCCAGGTGAGAGAGACCTAATGCAAAAGAAGGAGAGTCAGAGGCTAGTTCACAAGAAGTAGATCAAGACAGTCAACAAAAAACGAACAGTCAGATGCCACCTAGGACAAATGAAAACATCAGAAGATACCCTTCTAGAGAAAGAAAGAAACCAAGCTATCTTAATGACTCTGTGTCAGGAGAGGATATAGATGACCAAGCATTAACCAACATAGACTACGGTTACAGATTAATATGTAATACACCCACAACATTCAGTGAAGCTGTAAAGTCACCTAACTCAGAAGAGTGGACAGCAGCTATGGATGAGGGGATGCAGTCTTTAAAGGAAAACAACGCATTTACCTTAACCAACTTATCTGAGGGAAAGAAAACAGTGGGGGGGTAGATGGGCGTATGTAAAGAAAAACAATGGCGATGGAACAGAAAAATATAAAGCATGATATGTAGCCAAAGGCTATGATCAGAGATCCGGTGTAGACTATGAAGAAACTTTTTCTCCAACGGCAAACCTTACAAGTGTAAGAGTATTGATGCAATGTGCAATACGAGAAAAGCTGATTTTACATCAGATGGACATGAAAACTGCATACCTACATGCACCGATAGATTTTGAGGTTTACGTTGAGCAGCCAGAAGGTTATAAAGTAACAGGAAAAACCAGTGAAAAACTGGTCTACACGCTGGAAAAATCACTTTATGGACTTGGGCAATCTGGTAGAAACTGGAATAGAACATAACATGACTATCTAATAGAGAGCAGTTTTGTTCAGAGTTCTGCTGATCATTGTGTTTACACCAGATCAACAAAAGACAAAGTGATCCTTATTGTTTGGGTTGATGATATTACCATTACAGCCAGTAATGAGATTGTTTTGAAAACGGTGAAGGAACTGCTAACTGCTAGATTCAAAATGAAAGATATGGGTGAACTCAAACATTTTCTTGGCATAAGAGTTTGAGCAAACTGAACATTGTATTAAAATATCACAAAAGCAACATGTAGAAAGACATTTGGAAAGGTTTCAAATGCAGGATTGTAAACCAAGATGAACTCCTTGTGAGCCAAACCTGAGCTATAACAATGATGCAGAGAAAATGGAAGACATCAGGATGTACAGGTAGTAGGTAGCCTTATTCACTTGACTTCTTGCACACGACCGGATTTGAGCTTTGTCATAAGCAAACTATCTCAATACTTCAAAGAACCAACCACGGAACATTGGATTACTGTTGAGCATGTACTGAGATACTTGAAACAAATGAAAGACAAAACCCTGAGTTACAGAAGTGACAAAGATCTGAGAATTCAAGCTCACAGCGATGCCGATTGGGCAGCAGAGTACCACAGGCTACTGTATAAGTCTAAGTGAGAATGGTACATTAGTGTCGTGGAAGACAAAGAAAAAGCCAACCGTTGCTTTGTCAACTTGTGAAGTGGAGTACATTGCTTTGGCAGCAACAGCACAAGAATGCTTGTACCTGTAACAACTGTTGCAAAATATGTATGAACATCAAAAGGTACCACCAAAGATTTTTGAGGACAATCAAGGAACAATAGCATTGGCAAAGAACCATGTAAACAGGCAGAGGTGTAAACATATGGATGTTAAATATCATTTCATAAGATCAACAGTAAAAGCTGGTAATTTGATTTTGGAATATTGTTTGACACGTCTGATGGTTGCATATGTCATGACAAAGGTTGAATGGATACATTTACATTCACAGATAAGACATTTTTGGATATATGTCATGACAAAGCCAGCAACAAAGGCAAAGCTATGCAAGTTCGAAGAATATATGTTTATATATATATATATAAATATATATATCGTTTGTGTTCCACAAAAATAAACAATAATGAACAAGAGTCTGCTTCTAGACCTGCAGAAAGAGAGAGAGAAAAAAGGGACACAACAACAATACAATACGCGCGTCTGTTTTCTCGATCCCCAGTGAGTCGTGGTGGATGGCTGCTTATACTGAGCCAGGACCCTCTGGAGGTTTCTTCCTGTCAAAAGGGAGTTTTCCTCTCCATTGTCACTAAATTCTTGCTTAGTATGAGGACTGATGTAAAGACTCTGACACTGGTCAGTGACTCGATGCAACCTGCTGGGTTCCATATATTGGAAACTTTTTACTGATTGGCTTAATGAACTGACCTGTATTGGAATGTTTACTGTGTGAAGTGCCTTGAGATGACTCTGGTTCTGATTTGGCGCTGTATAAATAAACTTGAATTGAATTTAATTGAATTAGAATGTGATCTCCGACTTTTGCTGGAGTGGTTCTCAGCTGAGTGGGAAGCAACTGGGATGAGAATCGGCTCCTCTAAATCCGGGTCAGGGATGAGGTCCTGCCCCAAATGGAGGAGTTTAAGTATCTGAGGGTCTTTCCATTCCATGTCAGTTATAAAGCACATTTCTACACGGCCGAGGCCTACCAAAGTGCTGCACAGTAAAAGAGCATAAAAATCAACACACGGAAAGAAGTAATAAAAGTACTACAGTAACTACTATAAAAAACCATAAAAATAAAACAAAAACATTGTAAATTGCTAGCTAGGCTGAAGTAAAAGCCAAGGAATTAAAATGAGCCTTCAGGCGTGATTTAAAATCAGAGAGAGGGGGGGGGCGTTCTCACTGCTAGAGGGAGTTGGTTCCAGAGAAGAGGCACACAGATTGAGAAGGCTAGTTCTCCTTGCGTCCTAACCCGAACACTTGGGACCTTTAACGGGGGGTGGTCTGCTGATCAAAGAATTCGACCAGGTACGTAGGGCTGAACCAGCTGAGTCAAGTAGAGCAGTGCATAAAGATAGAGTGACTTAAAAACAAGAAGTAAAATTTGAAACTGGATGCGGTATCGCACCGGGAGCCAGTGCAGCTAGGCCAGAACAGGAGTAATGTGCTCGCTGCTTCTGGTGTCTGTCAAAAGGCGGGCCGCCGCATTCTGCACCAGCTGTAAGCGCGCAGCCGAGGAAGATGTGGATCCATAAAAAAGGGAATTTGAATAATCCAAGCGAGAGATCACAAATACATGGATCACTGTGCAGGTCACGTCTAGTCAGGATGGACTTCATTTTGATAGCTGGCGAAGCTGGAAAAAGCAGGATCTAACCATCTGGCTAATGTGAGAGTCCATCCGCAGCTCTGGGTCCAAAACCACCCCCAGGTTAGTGATGGTTGGCTCCACTAAGCTGCGAAAACAGGGTGGGAGAGGGAGGAACAGTAGGTTTTAACGTTGCAAAAGAGCCTCCAACTTAGACTCGTTCAGATGTAAAAAGTTATTATAAAGCCAGCCCTTCACCTCATTCAGGCAATCCACAGCCAGTTGCACAGACTCTTGAGGTTTTAATGAAACATAAAATTGGCGGTCATCAGCATACAAATGATAAGACACATCATGTCGCCTAAAATAGCTGCCAGAGAAGGAATGTAAAGATTAAAAAGCAGTTCACGAGTGAGGGAAAGATAGAGCGCAAGATCGATAGGCAGATTGGTGCTGCAGTGATGCGGCCATTGTACCGGTCTGTCATGGTGAAGAGAGAGCTGAGTCAGAAGGTAAAGCTCTCAATTTACCGGTCGATCTACGTTCCTAACCTCACCTATGGTCACGAGCTTTGGGTAGTGATCGAAAGAACGAGATCACAGATACAAGCGGCCAAAATGAGTTTTCTCCACAGGGTGGCTGGGCTTCACTTAGAGATAGGGTGAGAAGCTCGGTCCTCCACTTCAAGAGGAGCCAGTTGAGGTGGCTCGGGCATAGGATTACTCCTGAATGCCTCTCTGGTGAGGTGTTCGGGGCACGTCCAACCGGGAGGAGAGCTAAAGGGAGACCCAGGACACACTGGAGGGACTATGTCTCTCAGCTGGCCAGGGATTCCCCCTGAAGAGCTGGCTCAAGTAGCTGGCCCTCTCTGCTTAGGCGGCTGCCCCCACAACCTGACACTGAAGAAGATGGATGGATATTGAAAGAAACTTTGAAAAAATAAATTAAGCTTGGTTTCAAGGATTTTCAAGGACACCACAAGAATTTCAGATCTGAAAGTTTTAAGAAGAAGCTCATCTATATGAGAAGATGACTGAAAACAGTTTAAAAACAAACTTAATAAAATACAAGTAAATGCAAAACAAAGTAGTTAGATAGGATTGGGTTGGGGCTTTGGTGTAAGATAAGCTTATATTCATCATCTTGCAATCATAGAACATCTCATTCCATCTGTAGAAAAAACACAACCAATCGTTAAAGCGGACCTGAACAATAAATCGGAGTACAGTGGACTCGTTCATTCTGTAGTTGTGGCTTGTGATCCTCGGACATGAACAACAAACAAAACAAGGAGCAGTGCAGTAGTTCTTGGTTAGTGTTACCTTGATGCTTGTTTGGTAAAGGCCTGTAGCTCTTCTGTCACATGCAGAAAGTAGAAACTGAGGAAGACTCTCCTCTGAAGCAACAGGCAAAGGAAGCATAAACTGTCCCAAATAATTCCTGCTTCTTCAACTGGGAGGCTGCAGGTGTCGTCACTAACAGAGTTAGCTGCCAGAGAAACGAGAAAATGTGCAGAACAAATCGGTCACTTACGATACCTTCCTAAGTTGAATGTGATTCAAAACGAACGAATGAATCCTGTTTCAAAAATCTCAATTCAACAATCCGCTGCAGTGATTTAATGATGACAGAACCAGATTTAGATTAAATAAAAAGCAGAACTAATGTGTACTAATAAATGATAAACTCCCAACCAAGGCTATGCATTACAAAGCATTAAAATTATTAATTAAATGTATTGTCAAGTCAAATCTTAATTATTAAACATTGTAGTACTTACGGTCATAATATCCTTTAACTGTGCAAACCAAGCTGAACAGCTGAATCACCCAACAGAATCCTTTCTGCATTTCAAACACAAACACACACGCCAGGATCTGAAACACACACACACACACACACACACACACACACACACACACACAGAGTGAATATTTCATGCACGGCTTCTTACATTCTCGTTTTAATGAGGGCCTTCCAACTCCATTATTTGCGCTAACTGCATCCTGCACCAGGTTTACTAGCATTTAGTTAGTTTAGTTAGTTAGATAAAAGGTTGAACGGATACATGTACACTCACAGATAAGACATTTTTGGATATAATAACTGCCAAATTGTAGATGATGAGGCAGTCCCATAGGATGAGACGGGTCCTCGATGGTTTAATTAGTAGCTTCGTTCCATACAACAGGAAAAAGAAGGAAGCCAGCAAGTAGCCCAGTCCAAACACTGAGATCCTGGTGGCCCCTGTGATGAAGACCACTGATAGCACAAACCAGAAGAAGTACCGGAACACCAAAACTTTAGCCATGTCCAGGTAACTCCTAGAAGAAGAGAGAGACTCCAATTAACCAAGTCATAGTCAGGTTTAAAAACGAGGCACAGGTGAGACAACGGGTGGTACCAATATGAAAAAGAATCAAACTTTTCTATGTTATGAATGAATCATTTGTTTCACACAGTACAAAGCTGACGCAAAACTCCTCCAGAGTTCTTTTTAAGAGGCTCAGTTTCATCTAACCCTAACCCATAACAACTTTATAGCTTAACGCAAACCAAATTCTTTTATGTCCAGAACTCCGCTCTCTGAGAAACGGAGATTCTGACTCCATTACATTATACTCACACATAAGTTCCAAACACCATCCTTTAGTTCGCATCCACTCACAGTAAATAATAGTTTAAACATTTTGTCAAGTCTTAATTGTTTGTAAAATAAATTCTTAATCTTTATAAACCTGACTGTTTCTTGAATCAAAACGAAGTGTGTACAATCCCTTAATGAATAAAAGAATCCTAGAATCTTCTGACTAATCATCCTAAGACCAAGCAGGGGATATTCTACATTTACATAGAATATTGTATATATCTACAGGGAGTCGAGGTGGACTTGGGTGTTTGCTGCGGACCCTGCCCCTGGGGCAGCTGGAGGAGTTTGTATAAGTCTCCAGTGGACAAAAGGATGTCTAACCTCCAGTGGAGGATCATACATGGAGCTTTAGCTACGAACAGACACAGAGCCCGCTTTGACCCGAGCACCGGGGAGGGATGTCCTTTCTGTAACCAAACAGAGACCCTAGAGCATCTAGTGGTAGCATGTTCTAGGTTATCAGGGATGTTCAGGGTTTTAGAAGGGTGGGTTAGTGCACTGGGGGAGGCTTTTACCCTACCCTTATTTGTTTTCGGGCCCAAGTACAGTGTCAGAAAAAAACCGGACAATATTGTTAATTATCTTTTTATTTGCATGTGCAAAACTAGCAATCTGGAAAACCAGGAAAAAACCAGATGCTGGGACAGAGCTGGACTGATGCTGAGCGGAGTCTGAAGGGCCTGGTGGAAGCTCGCTTAAAGATTGAACACGCTTTTTATGAACTTACTGGGAACCGGGACTTCTTTAGAGCGGTGTGGGGGATCGGGCAGGTGCTCTGTCTGCTGGATGGACAGGGCTCCCTAAAGATCAACTTCTAAACTGTGGGTTGATCAGTTTTCCTGGTTTAATTAGTGGAAAACAAGTTACAGTCATTAACGCTGATTGTTGATTTGTAAAGAAAAATAAATAATTTAAAAGTCAAGTCTCTCTCTCTCTCTCTCTCTCTCTCTCTCTCTCTCTCTCTCTCTCCTCTCTCTCTCTCTCTCTCTCTCTCTCTCTCTCTCTCTCTCTCTCTCTCTCTCTCTCTCTCTCTCTCTCTCTCTCTCTCTCTCTCTCTCTCTCTCTCTCTCTCTCTCTCTCTCTCTCTCTCTCTCTCTCTCTCTCTCTCTCTCTCTCTCTCTCTCTCTCTCTCTCTCTCTCTCTCTCTCTCTCTCTCTCCTCTCTCTCTCTCTCTCTCTCTCTCTCTCTCTCTCTCTCCTCCACTCTAAGGGCCTTCCTGTTGTATTAGTGACTCATATATTGTAATGCTCATGTTCTAGTCACTCTATTTAAGTACAACCACAGCATAAAGTTTTCAATCAGTAGTTTTATTTCAGTATGTATTTTTCAGTATCACAAAAAGAATAATTTTATAAGGTTAAAGCCATGCATCTTATCTGCACTTTTTAAAACACTGCCCAGCAAACATTCGGACGTTTAATGACAGTTGAATGGTCATAACTGTAAAAAAAAAAAAATCACTGGAATTTAAAAAAATTGCATTATGTTCCATCAGTTGTCCTAGCCTAGATTCGAATCAGGGTCCTCCGAGTGAAAGTCATCCCCTCTACCAGCTGAGCGAAGACAGCACTTACTAAGAATTCAATCAGATTTGTTGTTCTGCTACAGTCATTGTGGTCCGAGAGGAAGCCAATGGGCCAATGAAGTAGAGGGTAAGGAGCGGAAAAAACTAACCAATCAGAGGACAGAGAAGATCAGCCACAGGCCACGCCTCCAGAGTGCCAAAACCCCCAAAAGCCGAGCAAGCAGAACCAGAAACCGAGCGTGCAGAAAGGCTGCCGCACGCATGTTTTCCTCTGCCGTGTACTCGTTGGGCAACGCGCGCACGCAGGTTTGTCACTTGTGCACATCCTTGTGCGCTCACAGACACGGTTTGCTCCTTCTCAGTGTACAAATGACCTCGCGCGATGTATATTTTCACTCGAGAGGTTCTAATTCCACATGTGAGTCACGTTGGACCCGTGTACGGTTTTGGCACCCATCTGACCCCATAGTTTAACGTTTAAAATGTCTGCACGCATGTGTCGGGGTAATTCCAGTCAGAATGACCAACAGCCTTGAGATTTCTCCGTCAAAATAAACGATCAAAACCCGGTAAATGCAACCCTTCCCCACATTTAACTTTATTTCCTTCCTGTGAAGATAGCATGGCAGCCCTTCGCATGAGTGTACCATTTTCTACAGTTTAATGAGCTCACAACACACAAAGCGACCGGTGCTTCCATTGTTTATACACCTAGCAATCCCATCTTGCAACATGCTACAACACCCAATACGTCACCTGACAAGGACGATTCCAAGTCATTTGATTTTGTGTATCTGCCGATACAGAGTCCCGATCCGATACTTTTCAGAAAAGCATTAAAATAAGAAAAAAACGAAGAAAACAACCAAGAAAGCATTGAAATAAGAAGAAAACATTTAAATAGTCCTTTAAGTTTCATTTTTTTTAGGAACACTGATTAAAAACCTTATTATATTTTGAATATACATTAAAGTAGTAGAGTTGCTCTTATTCAAGTTGTTTACTGTCTCAATATGCAGCTGTGAAGAATGAGTGTTCACGTGACGGAGCAGGCAGGCGGAGCATTCAGCAGGCAGGTTAACTTTTCTCTGCATAACACCTATAGCTCCAGCGTGCTGCTCCAGTAACTAGTTTTTCCCGGTGAATTTCTTCAAATCCTTATGCTGCGCTGGGTGCAAAATATTTTGTGCCACCAGAGGGCGCAAGAGCAGCGCTATCAAATATGTTTACTGGGCAACCACAATTTTTTTAAAACTGTGGCCTCCAGAATGCGCTTGTAATCACACAATCGCAAGCAGCGCTGTGTAATTGATGCCAGACGGTCCGCTGCACAACAAGTCCTGAGTCTGACGGACATTCCAGCTGTTATGCCACTCTGTCTTTACTTCTGTTCAGAAATGTAACGAATGTGGGACTTAAGTCTTGCTTCAGAATTATATCAAAAAGAGTAGACGGGAAAAGCGTTATTATTTATAGAGCGGGGGCAAATGTTTGTGTGGGTTAGGGGATTGGGGGGGGTGTTAGTTGGTTAACCGTTAAAGGGCGTCAATAGCCGGTTGAAGAAATTTTGGTAAAAGTGCATCCCTAAGTCGACGTGTCGTTTATTTAATAAAAAATGTTTTTAATCGCCTGCTGCCGCACGTTCGGCGTTTGCTTCCTGCCTTTCTGCTCAGCCGCCGCTTTAGCTCCGAGGCGCATGCGCAGTAGTGGCCATCCAGATAAGCCTTCATCACCGGAGAAAGAAAACATAGGAAGTCGACAATGTAGCTCAAAAGTTTGGGAGCATTTTACAAAGACAAAAGAAAGGCCTGTAGTGCAAACTCTGCAGAGTGAAACTCTCCTTTAACAAGAGCACATCGGTGATGCACGAGCATCTTAAGAGGAAGCACGTCATGGCGGAGAACAAAGAGTCGCCTCGGTAAGTTTATCTCTTGTTAGCTGCTAACATCAACAGAGAGTTACTTGTTTTCATAGCTGTAGCCACACCAGTAATGGTGGTGATTTTATAACCTTTAAAACACGTTTGTATGTCACGTATTTTTGCTCTAATTACAAACACCAATGATTTATTTCATCCTGCTACGTTACAGTGTTAATAAAAGTTATCTTCTTCAACGGACGAGTTTGTTACGTGCACACCTCAGCAAGCTAACGTCCTGACCGAGGCCGTTGTGAGTATGTTGGTCAGGAGACTCCCGTTCATGGTCAGTATCAAGGTTTCAGAAAGATGATTAAGCAGTTCAACCCTGGTTACCATGACTACTACCTACCAGGCTGATGCCATTTCATCATGATGGAAAAGAAATATGAAACAACCTTTAAGGTGTGTGTGCGACTGTGCGCGCGCGTGTGTGTGTGTGTGCATGCGCGCTAGGTACTAGGTAAGCTGGACATCGGGTGGAATTGATATTTTAGCCACTCCTTGGCTTCAAAAAATGTAGACCAAAATGGCCCCTTGGTCACGACCTGGTTTTTACCCATTGGAGTTTTTCACATTTCAGGTGTTTCAGGGGGTTTCAGATCTTCCACAGAAATCTGTTGACTTGCTATCATTACACTTTTTTATGTATTCTGATCATCATCGAAACGCATATAAATAACTGGATGTTTTTCACTAGTTTAATTACTCATCTCTTGATACCTACTGTAGGATGAGTAAAGACCAAATGGACCCTTAGTAAAGCTACGGATGGGACGAAATATACCTGCAGTTGATGAAGTTGGGTGCAGGGTTGAACAGACGACCCTCCATGGGCTCAGGCTCATCTGAATTCTCTCCTGCCAGGACCATCCACTCCTCCACCTTTTCATACTCAAACACCTTCCACTGCTGGGAAGCACACATCAGCAGCATAAAGTCCGCTGTGGACAGAGATAAAAACTCCTTCTGGTCAACGTCATGTTAGTAAATCTATACAGCTATTGAAGAGTAACGAGAAACAAGGTCAAACAAACTGTTAAAGCTGCTGTCAGTGGCTCAGTGGAGTCACCATGGTAACCAACCCCCGTATGAGACACAGACACAGAGCCTCAAACAAACTGATGTGTGAAAAATTGTACAGTGAGTCCAGTGGCTTTGTGAGTTTTAGTTTTACTATTATACTATTTAGTAGTATGACAATACTATAAAACTAGAATATTATAGTGTTATAACATTTATAAGAAGACAAGTTAAAAGATTGTTTACTTCCTGCTTAGAGGAGGTCAGTGAGGGTGAACACTGCTCTCTGGAGGGCTTTAAAGAAAACCAAGTAACAACAATTAGTGACGAGCTGGGTACATGACCACTCAAACATTTACACGTGTAAGTATTATATGTAATTTAAAGAGACAATGTGTAATTTTTACCATCAATTTCTGGAAGCATCCATCGAAATGTTGAAAATGAATTAAATGATGCCCAGTTGTCTGAAAATATTACAGCTTTGTAACATATCACCATAAAAATCGGGTCAAAAATACACGAGAGCGGATCCAAGTCTCTGGGCGACGCCATATTAGACGCCATGTCTATGGGAACCCGTGGGGACAAAATGTATTTACTGATTTATAATAAACTGTTACAAAACTTTCACCTTTCATAAACATTGTCGTTTTAAACATTGACCTCTTCACTCGTTGCCAGTGATGAAAGGGTCTTGTGTGCTTGTCGTTTTGCTGCAGGCAGCCGATCTGACAAAGAATTAATTAAAAAATTATGCTCCCAGGGATTTAGACCTTAATGGAAATCTGTTTTTAAGGCCTTACTTGAACACAAAATGATTGCATGCTTGCAATGATTTAGGTATGTCGTGCCCTTTATCGCCAGGGAAAATACACAGTCACTTTAAGAAAAGTGGTGTGATCTTTGGGAATGTCTAAACCACTCTAAATGTGTGCAACCCACCTGGTTTCACAACCGGTCTCACCTTGGAACAGGTGACCTCAGGTGACCCCTCACACCAGTGTATTCTGTTGCCGTGGCACATCAGCTGGCTCATTATTGAGGCGTATAAAAGAGCGAGCGAGAGAGAGCGACAGATTGTATGCTGGTCCAGAATTTATACCCTAGTAGACGTGTCGGTGTTTAAAGCTCTTTTAGTCTTTAACCAGTTCTCTAGAAGGATCAGAGTTTTCTATAGAGGGAGCACATATGCATCCATTTATCTATTTGGAGCTAAAATTGCTTTTACCTTGTATTATTTATGTTTTGGTTAAGGTGTTGGGCTAACCTGATTCATGTTTTCGTGTAGGCTAGTCTGATTGCTGATTTTGATTTTATTGCTCCAGTGGTTCGTTTGATGTGGGGAATGGAGCTATGTAATGTGCAAAGGTGTTGCCGAAGGGAATTTTACTGGAGTGCTGTTTTAGCTGAATATTCCCTGGGCCCGCAAAGCCCTCTGTTTTTAGCCACCCTTTCTTTGAAGTAAGAATATTTATCATTATGGGGTGACAGTGGTGAAGAAGTTCAGATCCTGTACCGTAACCAGAGGGTTGCAGATTCAAACTCCATCTGATGCAGTTGTTGTGTCCTTGGGCAAGACTCTTCTCTGGTCTTCAATCAGCCAAAAAGAGCACACGTCACCCCTCTGTTCATTGAGATCCACTGGCTACCGCTAGCAGCACGCATCAAATTCAAATTGCTAACACTAGCATACAAAGTTCGAGATGGTACGGCTCCCATCTACCTGAATCCTCTTGCAAAGGCTTACGTCTCGGCCCGGCCACTCCGGTCATCACAGGATCGTCAGCTAGCAGTGCCTACACCACGCTCAGGACAATCCAGACTCTTCTCATGCATCGTTCCACAAAAGTGGAATGACCTACTAAGCACTACCAGAAAAGCGGCTTCCTTTTCAATTTTCAAGAAACTCCTGAAGATCCTCCTCTTCAGAGAGCATCTTCTAAACCAACACATTCTCACACCCAAGGCGTCAAAATATGACGCGTGTGAGCAAGCCTCAATATATGACGATTCGGGACGCCCCAGCGTGTCAGGAGACGACGATCAGGGTCAAACTGCTGACGCAGCGTCCCAGAGCGTCGGTATCCGACGCTGATGCTGAGACGGACATTAGAACTATTACCTTCCCATCACCCCAATCCTAACCTTAAGGTCACAGTTTATGGACCTTAAGGTTAGGATTGGGGTGAGGGGAAGGTTAAATAGTCGAATAATGTCAGTGTGACCGCTGTTGTTGTTGTTGTTGTTAGCCTCAAGGGTAACATGCCGATTATCACTTGTAAGTCGCTTTGGACAAAAACGTCTGCTAAATACATAAACAAACATAAATTTCCCAGTTCTTTACCAATATCATTCTGTTTTTGAACCTGGTGACTAAAGTCCTCGGTATTTTGTTTTCTTAGTTGTGGAACTGAATGAAATATATGTACAGGGTGGGCCATTTATATGGATAAAATGGGAATGGTTGGTGATATTAATTCAAACATTCAAACCAAGCACACCATTGTTTTTCTTATGAAATTACCAATAAGTGTGATGTGTCACATGACCCTCTTCCTATTGAAAAAACAAAAGTTGGACCCAAGATGGCTGACTTCAAAATGGCCACCATGGTCACCACCCATCTTGAAAAGTTTGCCCCCTCACATATACTAATGTGCCACAAACAGGATGTTAATATCACCAACCATTCCCATTTTATTAAGGTGTATCCACATAAATGGCCCACCCTGTACATTTGCTAGCCACTCCTGTGCCTTTATAAATGTGCCTGTGTGCTAACTCAAACTAGACTTAGCAGTGCTGGTACCGTGGGACACCATAGGTCACTAAAGCCTGGTTCATGCTTCTCCGTCAGCTCCGCAAGGGACAGACACGCACGGATTGACGGAAGCGTTTTGCTCTCATACTTCTCCGTCTCCTGGAGAGTGTTGCAAAGCAATTCCCTGGCAGGACAACAGGGGGCATAGCGCTGTTCTGTGGTATCCTGTCATGTATCCGGTCCAAGATAGTGTGTTTGCATTGTGTTTTTTTGCATACAAGAGACTTTTTAACACAGACATATTTGTCTCTCATTCTCCTCCACCTCTTCATGCGCTCCCCACCTCTAAACCCACGTTTCCTGTCATTTCCGTCCACAAATAAAACGCTTGCTGTGCATCTTTTCACTCCTCCAGTCACGGGAGAATTAAACGTTCATATTTTTAGAGTTTTTTTGCGAGGTATTCTTCAAGCCGCTTGTTATCCTTGGCTCTCTTTATGTTTTTGAGGGCGCAGTGGCGGCGCTGTAAACAACAGCGGCGTCCTGACCAATCACAAGCTTGCATTGTCCATCTCGACTGACGGATGTTTAAAAAAGAGAGGTAGACTCCGTTCGTCCTTGCGGAGCTCTCCGGCAGGCACACAAGGACGTTGCGTGTCTCCGCACTGACGCAGACGGAGAAGCATGAATCAGGCTTAACTCACAAGAATGACTCACCAGGTGGTAAAGATCCTGATGGAAGGGCGAGACAACGACTTCCCTGACTAAAGCTCTATTTCATGCATTCCATTCCACAAGAAAATTCAGAACAAAAACCCCTTGGGATGAAATGGTCGAGCAAAGGTAGTCTGGTGGTAGGGGTGGGCAATAAATAGAAAAAGTACCATTATCAATATTTCTGACTAATCAGTATCGAATGTCCATGTCAATAAGTTTGATAATAAAGGATTAAAAGGTGTGTAGGTTGGCGACGCTCATGTCCCTTTAAGAAGGTGTACACCTCGAGTCACATGACTTAACGTAATACATGTGACAGCCTCATCTACTGGACAGCTTTTGTCTTTGTGCAGACATGTAGTTATCGTCCATTTTTGGTTATCGGGCTGAAATCCTCAAAATACCGTGTTATTGAGATTAGGCCACATCGCCCAGCCCTATCGGGTGGTTTGATGTTTCTACTCTTAGAATGTCTTCAACAAACATCAAGATGTCATTTTAGTCATGTGGTGTCAATCCAACCCTTTTCATCCCCAGGGAGGAGTTTCCAATTTCCTGAGAACCATTTGAACTCTGAATGATGTTTCTACTATGAGGTGAGGTTCAAGGGTGGGGACTTCCTCACCTGTTTAAACTAAACTGAATTGGTGTGTATGTGGAAAATGTTTAAACATTTCTGTATTTCTGGTGGAATGGCAGATGTGAATGCCCTAATGTCACAGCAGAATCAAAGTAAAACAGGAAGAGTCCTGGACAGCTAGTGGAGTTTGATGCGCTCATTAACTCACTTTTTCCACACATCTGCAGTGGCCTCTAGAAGGAGTGAATGCCTTGTGAGTCGATCTCTGTGGGGGGAAAACGTCTGGCACTCCTGTTTCAGGAGCTAGAAGTTACCCAGAAAACAGGAGAGCTGCAGACAGCAGTCTTCTGTTGTCTGCAGCTCCACTCTTATCTGACAGTCTTCTAGATCCTGACAGAGGTGCACCAGGGCCTTTTTTACCCAGAGTACAACCTACTAGAGACCACTGCAGATGTGCTGACCTCACCTTTAAAGAGAGAAATGCTACACAAATATAAAAACAGTCTTATTGCCAAAAGAACAGAACAAATAATCAGATACGTAAATGATAGAAAGTAAAATATCAGAACACAGACTGACCAATCAGGTTTTTGGAGTTTGGCACTGTGTAGAAGTCAGGCAGATAGATCCATTTGATGAGAGCTGAGTTCATCAGTAGAGGAGTGTTCCACCTCCATGGGTATTCTACATAAAAACATAAAACTTTGGTGATGGTCTATTCACTGGGCTTCATTCCTGCAGACACTAAATGCAACACGTTTGTTATAAGTTGGTGTGATCCTAGCCGAATCAAAGAATGTGTGCATGAGGCCAAGTCTTCAACTAAGCACTGTTTTTCTGCAATCATATACTAAATCTCAATGTTAAACATTTCATTCATTTATAAACCTTTTACATAATTTAAAAAACCCAGATTGTCTGTTTATCATTAAAGTTCAGGTCTAAATTAGATAACATTTCATGCTACAGTCCAAAAAGATGAGGCTCGACTAAAACAAAAAAATAATAAAATCCAGAGCTTTCAACTGTGTTTGCATTTGCACATGTTTCCACTCCCACTGCATTAATCCTTTCCTTCAATAGAAGGGTTTAATAAATGAGCACTTACCTATGCAGAGAGCCGGAGGAATGCCTACACATAGGAGATATTGGTAGATCATGAAGATGGACAGGAACAGACAGTATTTGGGCCAGATCTTGGCAATAGCTGTTCGTCTGCGCCTCACCAAGATCGCCACCAACCAACATCCATGGATGATTACTAAAAAGTTCATTCTCTGACCGATCACATTTAACGTCATCAGGAAGCAGATCTTTTAAAAAAAAAATGCAACGAAAAAATAAAATTATAAACAGCATCAAAACTTCTAAATGCAGTTCTAGTATTTTCAGGTCTAATAAGTCAGAGCTAATAAAACAGTCTTCTGCTTGCACCGTGCAATCACCTACCTCCAACCCAAACTTGTAAAAGGTATAATTGAGCAGGTATTTGAGGCATGAAACGAGGCCTTCATCTAAAGTGTCTCGTGTTGCAGCAGGAAAGAGTGCTGGTACAATCGGGGGAGATCGCTGGAGCTGAAGATAATGGTGAGCTTGGTGGCGATTCACTGTTGCCTCAAAAACCAGCAATAGAAGAACTATTAAATGGTTCTGTAAGAAAAAAAATCAAGGGGTTTGAACTATAAAAAAATGACTATTTAATATGTTCTCTGTGAGAATATCTGACATGTTCTAGAGTCATAACTGTTGTTAGCTCCCAGACGATCTGCCTGTTTCTAGGGCTTCACCCCAGAGGACAGCTTTACTGCGGCTTCAGAGTGGGGAATGGGTCAAGACTGTTGTTCTTGTTAACGCAAAGGAATAGCTGTTTATAGAGTACCCACCCCTTTTGGAGGCTGTGAGATGACTCGAGATGGTGCTCCAACTAGGGTCCCCATAGATCTGTAACGTGAGGATATATGGGTTTTCTGTGCCAAAGGTTTCATTTGACTCGGCTGGGTCAAAGCTGGGCCGCGCAGAACTTTAACCCACTTTTGCCGACATGAAGTCTGCAAGGGTCTGCTGCAAACCATAACATCTGAACACCTGCAGTGCCAGAAGATGTGTTCTCATGGAAGATAGTCATAATAAAGAGTCTTACGCTTCCTTGGTTTATTAATGCTAAATAATCATTTTACCATTTTACTCATTATAAATGAGTAATCAACGCTCATGAGGGTGGTGACCTGGAGGGACGTGATTGGAAGGAATGGCTCACCCAATCTGAGCCCATGTGCTGTTCAGTTATTGGACTACTGTCCAGTTTAGCCATGCTCAAACAAAGGGATGCCCATTAGTACTCGTAATACCAGGACAGTTGAGGTCAAGGGTCAATGACTGACTTTGTAGTCATGACATCCGACCTGCAGCCGTATGTTTTGAACACTCAGGAAAAGAGAGGATCAGAGCTGTAAGCTGATAACTACCTGGTGGTGAGCTGGATCAGATGACTGGTAAATCCAAACAAATAGTGAGGGTCTTCTGGGAACACGTGGTGGTAGAAGCTGCCAAAATGGTCTGAACACACCCAGTAGGAAGTGCTCTCATATGGTGCTTTCACATCTGGGCTGGCATGGAGCCACCCTTGTATGATATATTGTGTTCACATGTGGGTAGCCTGTGTGTTTTCTGTGCTCAACCAAATATTTTTTCAGACCTCCTCTCCTGACAGTCCACTTCCAGCTGAAATGACCCAACACACACACTGCCGACTGATTGGGTGGCTGGAATTCATGCCTACCTTTAGAGGGAGCCAGCAGGGGCATCCCGCATGCGTGATTCATGATCATGCTGGATACTGGGGAGTAAACATCTCCTGTGACTTCCAGAGAAGTTTGTGTGAAAAAAAACCTGGACGTGAGCAACTGGGCCAAGCCAGAAGTGAACACGCCAACAGTCAGACCAGTTCCAGGTGAGGGCTCGACTCCACCAAGGAATGATCAGCACCTCTAAATCTGAAGACATGGATCTAGACAGGAAAGGCAAGGATTGCCAACTTGAGATCAGCAGAGAGGCCCCCCTCAAGTGGAGGAGTTTAACTATCTCTGGGACTCGTTAAGGAGTGAGGGAGGAATCAGGAGATCAGCAGATTGAGCTGGAACCAGTCTGTTGTGAAGAGGGAACCGTGCAAAAAATTAACGTTGTCAATTACCCCGACTGATCCTTGTCCCTATCCTCACCTATGGTCATGAGCTTTGGGTAGTGACCAGAAGAACAACATCATGAATACAAGTGGCTGCACTGAATTTTCTCCATCAGATAGCCGGGCTCAGCATTAGAAATTGGGTGAGAAGCTAGGACATTCAGGAGAGACTTGGAGTAGAGCTTCTGCTCCTTCACATCAAGAGAAGCCAGCAGGTGGTTGAGGCATGTCATGCTTAGAGGAGACTGGGCTGACCCAGGACAAGCTGGAGGTATGACATTTCCTAACTGGCCTGGGAGCTCTCTGGAGGAGCTGGTGAGACTCGGATGGGAGGAAGAATGTGAAACAAGACAAACTTTTTATCTACCTTGCTATAACCCAGAGCAGTATCATCTTTCCTGATGCCAAACCATTTGGCCGGGTCCACTGGTTCTTTATAAAGAGTCGAGTTCTTCACTTCCTCTGGTAACAGGCTGGTTTTATTTGTTAGAGGCTGTGAATGAAAGTGATGAAGATCTTAAACATTTAACACTTTTAGTTTTACTTTCCAACAAAGTCAGGTTACGCATTTGCTAATAATGTTTTTGGGTGAGAATTAGAAAGGTTCTGGAACCTCAAGCCCAACTACAAACATCAATGCAGCTGGTGATGAAGTGCTGAACCCATTCTGCTGCTACTGGCCTGATTCATCAGCTGTTCTGGTTACAGGGCTAAGCTACTGACGGACTTGTGTGTGTGTTCTTACCATGCTGCAGTTATGAGAGTACTCATCAGGGTTGACAACACTGAGCTGGTACAGCATTTTGCAAACAATGATGACACACACCCAAACAGTGGACAGACAGCATGCCATGGGTCTGAAGCGACAGAAGGGCATTGCCAGGGACCACAACACCACCAGAACCAGGTTCATCACCGATGGCTACAGAAAGACCAAGACAGAGAATAGCTTTTAGCTTAACACGAGGAACCAAGAACCACACAGTAATTAATTTATGAAGAACGCTTGTGCATCAAAACCCATATGGTTAATAGTTCTGGGGTTGGGCCTGTATATTTTTTATTAGTGCTCTTCTTTGCATCATCTTGTCAGAGCATTTTTCCAAGGTACCACTTATAAACACTTTTTTTTCTTAGGATAACACACTTTAGTCCTTCACACATTGATTATGGCTTTACCTCTTCAAGTGCCACCCACACAGTGACAAAGGCCACCATCTTCAGGATGTGAAGCTCTAAAATCCTCCAGAGAAACACTTGAACTTTGATGAGGGTGTCGGAAAACTTTCTGGATAAAACCAGCAACCTGTCCATCACTAGGCCCCATTTACTGGGCATCAGCTCTGCTAAAGGAGAGAGGAGAGAACAAATTGATTCAGACATGCTAGTTAACGTTCTCAGTCAGCTAAGTCATGGTAATCCAAAGTGGTTCGAATGAAGACATCTGGACTTCTTTGGTTTCTTGAAGATGTTTAACCAGGTTTAAGAGTTAGAAGCCATGGAGAAATTGTGCATTTTCAGGTGAGATTTCAAAGCGGCGTTTGAAGGTTCTGGCCTAATCTGGAGGAGCAGAGTTTCAGATTGCTGAAGCACATATAGAGAAGGCCTTTTCAAGGCAGGTCTCAAAATGTGCTTTAGGAACAGAGAGGAGGAGCTGATCCGTGGACCTGAGGGCACGAGGAGGGTGGTAGCGGTGGAGCAACACCCTCAGATAAGAAGGGGCTTGACCATTTTCAGATTTGAAAGCTAAGAAGAGAATTTTAAAATTCATCCTAAATTGAACCGGCAACCAATGAAGAGATTGGAGAATCACTGTAATGTGGTGTCCTGTATTAACTCCAGACTAGAACCTTGCCGCTGCATTCTGAACCAACTGAAGCCTGGACAGAGCAGCTTGGCTAATGCCATAATGGCAGGAGTTGGAGTAGTCAAGCCAAGATGTAATGAAGGCATGGATCACAGATTCTAAAAGACTCAGGATAGGCTTATGTTTGGAAGTTCCCCTATGGTGGTAGAAACAGGATTTAACTGTTATTAACCTGAGTATCAATCTTTAAGGAGTGTCCTTTTTTGCTCCAAGGTTGGAAACAGTCGAGGTCACGTGACGGGAGGGAGAGTGGAGGTCAGGTGAATAGACTTGGCAGTCATCTGCATAAAAGTTATAGGAAACTGCGTGCTGTCTAAAATTGGCTCCTAAGGTCAGATTGAGGGGAACCTGAAACCAACATCAAAAACATGTTGTTGAACACGCGTACATTGGCAGTTTCGGCACTTCGCTGTTTCTTAAAACAAAACTGAAATATGTCCATTTCCTGATGGTCGTGTAGATGGCTAATTAGCTATTCACACATCCCTTTTTCAAGCACCTTAGATAGAAATGGTCATTTGGAGACTGGATGGAGATTTTAAAAAAAAAGGCGGGACAGGAACAGGTTTTTTACAAAACTGGCTAAACAACGGTGTTTGAAGGCACGAGGAAATGCAGCCAAGGTCAAACTACGCTCCCTGTCCTTCAGGTGAAAGTGGACTACAGAGTTTTGGCCTGAAGAGGTGGCTCTCCTGTGTTGTTTAGTTTCCCCTATGTATCAACTAAGAAATCTGGAAAATAATCCACAGCAGCAACTATTAAAAAAAGGACAGCAGGCACAAAACCACCATCATCCCATACGTGGAAGGAGTTTCAGAGAAACAAAGGAAGAACTTTCTCCAAACACAACATCCTGGTAAACTTTAAAGCCAACAACACCCTCAGACAGAAACTGGTCCATCAAGACAAAACACTCAAACAGAGGCTCAGTGGTGTTGTTCATGCGGTCCAGTGTAGTGAGGACTGTCCGTATCTTCACACTGGTGAAACTGAACCAGGCCCGGAGTGGCTAATCGGGAGGGTCTGGAGAATTCCCGGTGGGCCGCGCGATGTTTGGGCCGCATGGGCCGGTGCTCTCGTTTTTTTAAAATCATTTTATTTTTATTTTTTGGTGCCGGTGTTCAGTCATGGCACTGAGGCCGCCGGGCTGATCTCATACGCTCCTCCCGGTGTGCTGTCTCTGGCTGTCTCTACCTGCAGGCTGCAGCTCGTTTTTTTTCCCCTGTATGCGCCTGTGCGCACCACGTGACCACGCAGTTGCTGGAAAGATGGAAAGTAGAAAGAGCAAGGGTGGCTCGGAGAAGGCAAGAATTAAAAAGAGGAAAGCGCTGGAAACAGATGCAGCTAAATGTGCAAAAATGAGCACCTTTTTTCTCAAACAAGCTCGTGGTCTTTAACTTCAAATGAAGATAAAACGGGTAAGGCAAGTCAAGATGTCAAACTTTACCAGCTGCAAATCACCATTCAAGTTAATTAAGCATCAATAATGAATTATATGGCATCATGACATAACGTTATGTAATATAATTAACAGTATGATGTGACTGATGCCACCAAACTGTCTTGTAGCCCCTCAGAGTCAAACACAAGATCCAGTAGGCCTAATAAGCACCAGGCAGAAACCCACCATTCCAGAGCGGACATGTACAGGTAGGATTACTTATTGAGTCAGTGAACTGAATATTATTAAAATTTATATGATGAAAACTATCCTGGCTCTATATGAAAGTGTCCTAAAATGCTAGATGATTCAGCATTGATCAGAAAGCATGTAAAAAAGGAAAATGAATGCTGAATTGTGACCATTTTCACACAATGTGATTTAGTGTCAGAAGAAGAGCCAGGAGCCAGCAGTGAGGGTATTGCTCCTGTTGGGATAGAAGGTGAGCCAACTCATGTGCAAACATCAGTTTCATTATAATAATTTTAATGTCCAAATAATAGTAGTGATCTGTTGTATTTTTATTAGTAAATGCACAAAGCCCACAACAGATCGCTATTAGAATGAAAGTAAAATGAAATAAGCCTGCTTATTTTGCCATAGAAAATATTTTTAATTGGTTCCAAAAAATGTGTTTTCCATATCAAATGTGCTAAAGCTTTACAGATGATTATTTTAATTGTGTGCAGGTGAGTCTAGGGAAACTGGAAAAAGTGTGAAAGGGAGTGCTGAGCCATTTCATTTTAAAGGTTTGAAAATCTCAGAACAGCTGTTTGAACAGAAGGTAGATTGTTATATTTTTAGAGAATGTGTTGTAAAGAACAATGTTGGAGATGTGCACTGATGTTCAAATAAACCTACATTGTAAAGCAACTCTTTCTTGCACTGAATTACAAGGCTTTACCGAGTAGTGTGCTTTTGTAGACTATACATATGAAGTTGTAACATGATTTTAATAATAATTCGTTAAGTGGGCCGGTCTGGGGTCTGAAACTCCAGGGCTGAAAATGTGTCCCACTCCGGCCCTGAACTGAACAACAATTACACGAGAGCATGGCGGAGAGCCACCTCTTCAGGTCAAGACTCTGCAGTCCACCTACACCTTAAGGACAAGGGACACGTCTTTGAAAATAAGGTACACATTCTGGACAGAGAAAATAGATGGTTTGAGAGAGGAGTAGAGGAAGCTATCTATGTCAAACAGGAAAACCCCACATTAAATACCACTTATAATGCAGCTCTGAATCTAATCCCCAAACAGTTTCAGTCTAGGTCACACACTCCTGCATCTAATCAAGACAAGAACCCCCTCACAATAGGGGCCAACGGCTCCTCAGGGGGCAGGGAGGAGGGGTATTCACTTGTAATACCTGCTCATTACGCAACAATAGACAGCCACAATTTTTAAGCTTGACCCTGCCTCATTCCAGTCAGAACTGGCAAAGCTCCTCGGATAAGAAGCAAAACGTCTCCAAGAAACCAATGAGGTCGAGTTGCATTTACTTGAACCATTTTGAATGAATTCAGATTTTCAAGGGTCATACTCAGGTGTGAGGCAGATGTGTGGGAAACATTTGTTATTCATTTTCAAATAACTGTAATTGTCTAACTATGCTGCTATTAAAAATAATCTAATCTAATTACTTAGATCCCTGTACACTTAGTTCTCTCAATATGCAAATTACAATGGTCCTTCAGAAATGAATATTTTAATCCAGTACTTTTATGCACAATAACATATTATCAATAAAAAATTAAATAACCTTCATCTTCAGATTTATCATCATTGTTTGGCACAATGTCTTCAGCATTCAACTCCACATCATCATCTTGGTCACTTCTTTCTTTGGTTGTCTTCCTGTAAGTAAAACATTTTATTTATTGCAAAGAACAGTGACGATCAAACTGGGGTCCCCAGCTCCCCAGGGGTCTGCGAGCCCTTAGTTGGTGGTAAATCGTAAAAATTGTAAGTTAAATCATAAAGGAGACACACTTATCACTTCACACATCTTATATTTGAGCTCCTTCTGGACCGTCTCTGCTCCTCTCGGTCTCCACGACTCTTTTGATGCACGCCTGGAGTGATTGCATCTCATCCACAGTAAGCACACACTCTCTTTCCATCTCTGTCAGATTTTTAACCTTCAAACTGACCATGTCGGAAACCTCTCCTAACACACCTGGTTCCAGCTTAATGAGCTGCATTTGTCTTTGCAGGGTTCTAACATCAGGCAGAGGGATACTCATGTTCTAAAGAAACCTGTAGCCTGTTGAACCCACTGAAGAACGGAGTTGTACGGCCTTTTTTATTGTCTGTTTACTCCATTTAATGCCTCTTCTGTTTTTCATGCCTTTTTGACTTTCTGTTTCCTCCCTTAGGTTTTCCAGCTGGGTTGCCTGGTTGCATAGCCTGGTCCTTTCTCCTCCTGGCCCTGACGCCGGCTCCTCATGGCTTCCTGGGATGTTTCTCTCTCCTGATACCATCTCATGTCCCCCCGCACTTTCCCTCATCTCATTTGCCTCACTGCTGCTGCTTTCCTCATTCTCTGAAATTATAATGGCACTGTTAGAATAAAGAATAATTTTTAAATAAAATAAATACAAATGTCTAATATTTCTAAAGATTCGTACCACAGTTTACTTGAGTACGATATGTGTGGTCACTGGCCAGTGGATCAACATGCAGTGGTTCTGCTGTACTTCTCACTGCAGGGTCCTTCCTCCTCCTTGGTTCAGGGCGATGAACAAACACAGCATCAGCCCAGAGTCTCACCTTGCCTAGTCTTAGTAAACTGACCCTCCTCAAAATGTGCCTGTAGAGTGGTGTATTAGTTTATTTCTTGACACATTTAGCAGTTTGGCTGTGACGTGTTGGGCGAAGTTCATATAATACAAGTTATTTAAAAAATCTGAGGCTAAAGGATCAATGGTTTTCCATGTGCACGTAGATTAAAATCACCAGCTAAAATGATCCTATCAGAGGAGTTGTGCAGAATTGGTAAAAACTCTGAAAACACTTTATTAAAAAGTGCACTCTGTTTAGGAGGCCTGTGGACAGTTACACATAAAATCTGGGGAATGCTAAAAGTGGCTGCGGAATATTCAAAAGCGCATCCCTAGTAGTAAGCTACTGGAAATGTTAATACCATTCATGTTCTACTGGTAAGAAAGTAATTATGTCATATCTATTTTATTTTGTATTGGTTGGCAATAATCCAGTCTAAATTGTATTCATAGAAAGAAATTTGTAAATTGCATGCTACAATGGCTTGCCATATCCCTGCTGTGTTGCATGTAGCAGACTTGAAGCAACAACCCAGACTCCGAGTGGCTGCTACGGATCTGCTCCATAGGGCGCGCCAAAATCACGCCCATCTACTTCCGGACCATGGGTCCCCGGAAGAACGAAAAAACAAATGCAGGTCAATGGAGCTAAAAACGCTATTTTCTAATCCCTTAGTTATGTTATGTGACATTAACTTCATGGATGATGAGCGTTAAGTTTAAAAGGTGCATTATGATGCCAAGAAAGCTGTTATTTTTGAAAGGCGGAAACCGGTATTTTAGGTTTTGTGTGAAAATGAGTCCAGATGTGAATCACCAAACTGACATAATTGAACCAGAAATGGTGAAGAGCAAAGGGAAATGACTAAGTCGAGCAAACTTCGGCCATTCACTCAGTCCCACCCCAGCAGGAAGTAAGGATTCTACACAAAGTTTCATAAATTAAGCCCCAGGTCAGTACAGTCAACGTAACCAGAAACATGTTTGTAAATAACGGTACGTTATTTGACCTGCCAACAACATAGAACAGCAGTAGGATTGTATCTGATGACCCTACCTGTGCTTTGGGGTCACTCGGTCCAGGTCTGTGATTCTCATGAAGGGCTTGTGGAAGTAGTGCAGCTGCAGAATACAGGCCAGCAGGAAGAACCCTGGGATCACTATGCTGGTAAAGAGTTCAGACAGAGCGAACGTCTCCAGACCAACAGCGCCGAGCCTGACAGAGACGAGCAGGACCAACGTTACAGCAGCTTTAATCCAAATCTAAAATGCTCACAGACAGAAACACTTGAAACAGCAAAATGACCATCTCTACGGCCCTCCATGTAAAACAACAATGAAACACATAAACTATCTGCTACAACACATACTGCTCATCCGTGAAACCCGTCAAGTTCTTCCAGTATCCAGGAAAATCTTCAAACTGGTATGTGTAAATGGTGATCAGAACCAGCATGGTGTAGGCCACAACCAGCCACCAGAAGAGCTTCAACAGATGCCTCCAAAGAGAGTAGTATACCTGCGGAAGATCAGCATACAAGCTCAAGATGTTAAACTTCTCACAACTCAGCAGAGCAGAGCAGACATAGTCTGTCTTTAGTAGGGATGTTCCGATCTGATCAGGTCATTTTCAACGGATCAGAATCGGGTGGGAAAAATCAGATTTTACCATTTAAAACCACAAACACTACTTTTTCAATGCATCTAGAGATAGAGGTTTTCAGACGGAACAACAATGGCTTAGTTATAAATTCAACAAGTTGTACTACATGAGTAGGGGAAAGCGGGGATGGTTGCAACACTTTGTTTGAGCAAATTTGATTCAGCGGTTGTTTGTGGTAGAGACTAGCCTGGCAAGCCAGACTAAATAAATAAATGTATTATTTAGTCTGGCCATGCTGACGGCTCTCGGTTGTGGGGCGGGTTCTACCGTTGTCTTTCAAATGATCTCCGCATTCCATTGGACAATGAATGTGACATACTCGTGTTTCACTCTGTTGCATCGTCCCACCCACCAGGCATATAGAGTGCCCTGATTGGCCCACAAAGCAGATAAAGCTCTTTGATTTGTTCACTAAGCAGATAGAGCACTATGATTGGCCCACCATTATGGACCAATCACACCTCTTTTTGTGTTTGAAACCCCTCTAGAGAGCTGTGATTGGCTAGCCAGAGTCCTGGTAGGAGCTGCGGAGGTTCCAATGGAGCATGCCTAGACCAAACTTTGCAAAGCAAGAATTTGGTCTAGTTCACTAGGCTAGGTAGAGAGCTCAGTTCTTAACTTGTGGTACCCATATCTGTCTGCTACAGACTACATGCATTTGGACTTCTACCACATTATCACAGATTAGTTACTGTTAAAAACGAAGAGGTACGTTGTTAAAACCCACCGCAGTACCGCGGTGAGATGGTCAGGATGGATCTAACAGATAAATTATTACGCTCAATAAGACCCACACTAATAAATGTGCAGAAACACTTTGATTCATGGGCTTCATGAGCCCAAAATGTATAAAGGTGACATCTGGTCCACTCTTCCCTTGACCATGAGTTATCAAAGTGCTCCAAGCACACAATGCAGACATTTTCATTGTCGTCTGACCAGTCTGCATCTATTGTGTCATCAGGCTTAGGCCTTTTGATTTTCTTCCTCTGCAGGGACACCTCTGGTTGTTTACGTGTCCACTGCCTAGGCGTGATGTAAAACTGAGACCGGTGTAAAATGACAACATGGTAGGGGAAAGGTTGAGACACCTTTTCAGATCTGTTGCAACCCACCCCATGCCAGGTTACCATTAAAAAGCTAGCCTGATTAGCATTTAGCTTCAAAGTTAGCACTTGTGCTAGATGTCAAATCAAAGAAGGGAAACTACTGCTTGAGTTTATGTAAGTCAAACAATTGTATCTATAATAATTGTCTATAATGGACACAAAAATATCGGTGATAAAAATTGTTACTTTATTACCTGAAAAATAGATTTATTGTTCCAGAACAGACTGTTTTCAACTTAAAAGTTAAAAGTTAAAGTCCCATTAGTTGTCACACACACAGGTGTGTGTGCGAAATTTATTCTCCGCATTTGACCCATCCCCTGGGGGAGCGGTGAGCTGCAGACAAGCCGTGCTCGGGAACCATTTGGTGGTTTAACCCCCCAATCCAACCCCTTAATGCTGAGTGTCAAGCAGGGAGGCATTGGGTCCCATTTTTCCAAAGTCTTTAGTATGACCCGACCAGGAGTCGAACCCTGATCTCCCAGTCTCAGGGCGGACACTCTACCACTAGGCCACTGAGAAAGGTAGAGCCATGCGGCCTTGCCAGTGTGGTCACTTTACGAGTAGGCATAACCTGTACTGATGACATCAACGTAGCTCGCTTCTGACTGGTTAAACAGAGCGTAACAACCATCCTGGTTTCCCCTATTCTTTGTTTCACAGACAACACCGCAAGTCCCACAATTTAAGGTAGCCTAAGAATTTACACACCAAACATGTAGCTGCTAGCCAACAGGCTAATGTAGAGCATACTTGTCGCCTCAAGAGAGAAAATGTCTGTAAATTTGTGCAATATGTGCATTTAACGTGGTGGAAAAAGTAGTGGTGCATTCAACACTACGAATTGGATGCTCCACCTATAAAAAAGCTAACCCTGCTCAGTTTGCAGCAACAATTTGAATAAGACAGCCCTCACAAAAAGATACGTAAAAATAAAAAAAATTAAGAAATAGTCTACAGACAGCAAAAATGCCAAGATAGCAGAATAGTTATCACATTGGGTGAGTGTCTGTGGTTGTAAACTTGGGGTTTTGCAGTCTCCTGAGAGCAGCATGATCTGCCTCCTCACGCAGCACTTCAGGTGTTTTGTAGAAAGGAGAGACCCTACTTCTGACCGTCATGTGCTGTGCCATCCCTGTCGCAGAAACGCTAATCTCTCAACAGCCGCACACCGAGTAAACAATTTGAAATATGTGACAAGGCTGCCTTTACAAATATTCTTAATATTAACACATTTCTTATTAATGCACTTCCTGAACGAGTGATATTTTATGGAAGATTAACTAAAGAACTGGCATAAATACAGAAAGAACGATATGCATAATGATTAAAAATCTTAAAGGACAACTCTGGTGTGTTTTTTTTTTCCTTAATGCATTTCTCAAGTATCGGATTGGGACTCGGTAACGGCAGATTCTTAAAAGTGAATAACTCAAAATCAGACCGGGAGCAAGAAAACATGATGGGAACATGCTTAGTCTGTAGAGCAGAGGTCATCGACCTAGCGCCCTCAGGAATTATATAGGGTGCCTTCTAAATAGCACAAATCTATGTTTAACTAGAAAAAATTCTGCTGCCATCTTTTTTATTCACAAATGCATTATTGTAGCTTTAAACGACTAAATTCTTTAAAACCAGTAAGTTATGTTTATTCTACATTAAGTTTAATTTAACTCTGATCTATTACAGTTCAAAGGTCAGGCTTGTGTCAACCTGATGGCTCAGTAGCCGTTAAGTAGCTCTCAGCTTCACAAAGGTTGGTGAGCCCTGCCAGAGAATCAGGGCGGCTTAACAGAGAGCAGAAGGAAGGATCTTACTTAAAACCATAGATACTAACTGGGCTTATTAAAGTAGCTGACATGAAGCCCCAGATAGGGTTACTATGGGACGTAAGGCTTGTTCATCTCTCTATCTGTTACTAGAAAACTGTTTACAGTGGTTTTACCTGGACTTGTTTATAGGAAATAACTGAAAACATAGAACCAGGGTCAGTTAGTGGGCTGGCTCTTTTATCTTCAGAATACTTAAAATTAGTGGCTCAGTCAGAAACATGAATCATGTACCTTAGTTATCAACTAAACACAAAGGGGAGATTGAAATCATCTGATTTTCTGTTTAATGCCTTGACACAGTGCGAGAGACGCCAGATTCCTTAGTGATCATGATTTTCAGAGCTGAGATAAACAGTTAGCATGTTTCCTAACACAGTCCAAAAAACCAGAACATAAACACAAACTAGCTGCTGCAGGTAAAGAAATGTTTGTTTCTACCTGATACAAGCACAGGCAGAGCAGGAAGAGCAACATGTAGACGATCTTATATGCAACAAGTTTTCCAGCAAAGGACACCATGATAAACATTCCTCCACAAACATAGATCCAATATTTGGCGTAACAGCTCATCACAGTGCCTCCAAGAACCTTCAGCATGGATTCACTTCCAGCTTCTTCTTCTTCTGAAAAAAGACATGAAAATATAAGGTGTTACAAAGTAAATAAGCTTTGTGATGTTACAGGTCGTGATTTTGGTGCTGGCAGATCACGGGCCACAAAGAAGAGCCAAGCACCATCTTACACTGGTGATCTTCTCAGTCCCTACGGCTAAAGACCAAAGGTGACAGATCATCTGCTGCTGTGGCCCCCAGACTCTGGAACTCTCTCCCCCTGAGCCTGAGATCAGTGGACTCAGTGGTCTCCTTTAAAAAGCAGCTGAAGACTCACCTGTTCAGGCTTTGGTGGGACCTTTTGCAGATTCTTCATCACCGGCTTACTTTCATGCTGCTGTTTCTATTGATTCTGTCTTTTTCTTTTTCATTTTTTACTCAGATTTGTTTAATATTTCTTCCTTTTTATCCATTTTTGATTATGACATTTTTTTTTGGTTTTGTTGTTCTTGTGAAGCACCTCATGATCTTCATCTTTAGAAGCACTAAATAAAAAGTCATTTCTTATTCTTCCTATTTGTCCTCTACACTTCCAACATTATGTCACCTGCATTGTCAGAGGAAAAGGATGTAGTGGGTGAGTGATGCAGCGACCTCTAGTGGAGACTTCCTGTAAGGCGGAGGTCATTTTGCTCTTCCTCCTGAAGTTTTCCTTCACTGACTGACGAACCAAAAGCCAGAAGGTTAACATGAACAACATCTGGAAAGACAGAAAACAAAACACACGAAGGATCAGGCGAGCTGAGCCTGTGACTGCAACTGCCTTTTCTTTGCAACCAGGTTTCCAAAAGCAACCAGTAGCATAAGTCTGTGTGTTGGATCAAACTGATGCCGAGCCTCTTCTGACCTGTCCCTCTTTGTATGAAGGGGCAACAGACATTCTGAACATCAAACAGCAGAGGGAGAGGTACAATATAGAGAGCTTTAAAAAACTTGAGGGAGTTCAATAGGTCAAACCTTAAGCCACGCCTAAACTTTTATTGTGTGCATTACTTCAACCAAGTTACTCAAACAAAAAGAAAACATGAAGTTTTGGTTTGTGGCTGCAGCTAAACTGACCAGACACCATTGCTATCAGGTGAAAACCTCGTATCTCCGTTTTTCATCATTTTCATTCAAACTCCTTTGGTCATACTGATGGGTTAGGGTTAGGTTGATGTACTAAGGTGTCAAGTAACAAAGTACAGATACTTCGTTACTTTCCTTAAGTAAAAATTTTGGGTTTCTATAGTTCACTAAAGTATCCATTAGCTGACTTTTTACATCTACTCCTTACATTTCCACACTATGGAGTACGCACAGCTGCACGCAGTCTCTGCTTCATAAATCAGAAACTATCTAGAAAGGTTCTCAGCTGCTTTTTAGTCACATCCCGCCCTCATCACGCCCACTTACTGCCATAAATAGTCAATGCAAAGTGCCTTGTGGATCTCATGCATATACATAAGCCGGCTTGCATTTCGATTACGACCGCAGATCAAGGAAGCGCTATTTCACAAGCAGAAATTCAGGTACTTGTGGGTGAGGTGGAGAAATGAAAGGAAGTGCTTTTGCGAAGAAGAAAAAAAAGAGAAAATCCACGGAGTGGCACAGCGTTGCTGAAGTCTTCAATGCTGAGTTCTTCAGAGAGATCTGTGGCGGAATCGATCCCCAGACTCCCGGGTGAAAGTCACGCACGCTAACCAGTCACCCAAACGGAGATCTCCCTTGTACAAGTAGCCAGGGCGCATGATAAATCGGGTCACAGTGACAGGACACACACCGTCACAGACGCATGAAATTCTGTCTCAATCTGTCACCCTGCTGATATCCTGCATTCCGTATTCCGCGCTTCAGGCTGTGTGTGTGTGTGTGTGTGTGTGTGTGTGTGTGTGTGTGTGTGAGTGTGTGTGTGCGTGTGTGTGTGTGTGTGTGTGTGTTCCTCTTCTGCTCCTCGGCTCCTTTATTTATTTTTTCACCCACTGTTTTAAACTGTCCTTGGGTGTCATGAAAGGCGCTTTTTAAATAAAATGTATTATTATTATCATTTAATTTTTGGTCTAGGTAGGAAAACAGCTAGTCGTTGAAATTAAAAAATCTTATTCCATAAATATAGATGATCATGTGAGAATAGACTGGTAATTATTTGAGAAGTTTTGTATTGATTTTAATTTAAACAAGTTCAGTAAATTAGTTTATTTTTCATGCTTACACCATGTTTCTGAACAGAAGAATGTGAAAATGCTGGTTAAGAACTAACATGTTAGTCTGGTAGAAAAGCCCATGGATTCCCGATCTACACATTTCCTACGACCCAATATATAGGGGGGGCGCTGATGCATAAAAAACTGAGCATTTTCGCTAATTACTTATAAATATAGGCATAAGAAACCAAAACTTTAACAGCTTCATTTTATCAGGGAAAGCCCCACTCATTTTTGGTTGCAGATTCGATCCCGGCTTCGGACAGAAAATTCTACTGTTGTGTCCTTGGGCAAGACACTTAACCCCCCTTGCCTGCTGGTGGTGGTTGAAGGACCGGTGGTGCTTGCGCTCGGCAGCCCCGCCTCGGTTAGTGCGCCCCAGGGCAGCTGTGGCTACAACATAGCTCAACCCCACCAGCGTGAGAATGTGTAAATGACTGAGTGTGATGTGAAGCGCATTCGTAGATTTATCAGTGATTTAATGGGTGGTTTGTGATCTCAACACAAGTTAATAATGATATGTGCTTTTCTAGGCACTCTCCATTATTCACACGTTCACACACGGCCGGTGATGGTAAGCTACTAGGTAGCCATAGCCGCTCTGGGATGGTCTGACTTCTTTTATAAAGCATATTTACACAACTTGCATTGACTAAAGAGATGTAAGGTTTTCCCCTGACTGGGATTGTTGTATAGATAAACATCTGAGAAGTTAAACTGGTTCAGATCTTTCAGTTTCACAAACTAGGACCATTATCATTTCATTTACCATTTCTAGCAGCTCAGATCTTACCATAGCTCCCAGTCTTAGACAAGGGTACTGGGTTTTGTCCAGTCCCAGCTGTCTAAGACTCATGGTCCCCACAGTGGTGGGCAGCTCGGGTTGGAGCTCCATGGCCCAGATGTACTGAAGACAGCACAGTGCCAGGCCATACAGCAGGATGAAGGGAGAGCTCAGCGTGGCTGCATGCCGTCTGGGAACAATGAACATTAAATGGAATGCAAGTTCTTGGTATGAAACAACTATAATGAGCAGGTTAAACCAGTGAAACGTTTTTAAACCAAAAGCAATGACAACATAGTCAGGCCACTCAAGAAATACAAATCGAGGAGAAATATTATCTTTGTTTCCCAGTTTAGAGACTAAAGTCAAAATGTTTAGAAAAGGTAAAAATGTCCTTTTCCTTCTTAAAAGGGCATCAAAAAGAACAAGGACTGGTTCTCTGTGTTCACAAACTTTATACATCAGAATAAGTAAGAATAAATAATACAAGTTAAGCTGTTATGTGTCGTGCCTCTTCTCGGCCACAAGATGGCCCCAGTGGCCTTCTGCCTCGCTTGTTCCCCAGTCCCAGCTGTTGAGAATCAGTAATCAGGGAGCAGCTGGTAAAAGCTGCTTCCAGCTACCAGTTCATTGAGAATTACGCAAAGCAAGCAGTAAAGTTAGAAGTAGTGAAACCGATCCCTTTTAGCAGTAACGAAGTGAAGTCAATGATTAAGGATAGAATTATGAATGAATGGCAGGACATGTGGGTAAGGGATAAAAAGGGCCGACATTTATTTAATATACAGAACGTAGTAGGTAAAAGGTCGTTTAAGGAGTTACATAATAGGGAACAAACAATAATAACGAGATTGAGATTAGGACATTCGGGATTGAACAGCACTTTGCATATTTTGGGAAAACATCAAACAGGTTTTTGTGATTGTGGGACAGAACGGGAAACTGTAGAACATGTTTTGTGTTTTTGTAGTAAGTTTGATGTAATTAGGGGTGAATTTATAGATAGGTTGAAAGATAAAGGATGTGGCATTTGGAATTTGAGAACGTTGTTGAATGGCAGTGGGTCCAATTATAAGTTGGTGCTGGAGTTTCTTAGGAAAATTAAGGTATTTAGTAGAATTTAGTTTTTTATTATTTTTATATATATATATATTTTTTTTTGTTCTTTCTCTCCTCGCTCTGACTCACACTCCTGCACAGTAGGTGGTGGTAATGCACCTTAAGTTGGTTGCCATCCGCCATTTAAACCGGAAAGGAAGAAGAAGAAGGAAGTTCATTGAGAAGGTCCAAGGGTAGTATAGACTCAGCTGAGTTTGTATTGCTCGCTTCTCCTCGTTTGTTATTGAACTCGTTTTGCTCGGTAGACTTCGGTGTTTTGGAATTTGGATTTAGAATTAAGACAATTTGGTATTTTGACTTCGGACCGGCTTTAGACTTTAGCCTCAGATCTCCTCTTTTGTATTTATAAATTTATTATTCTCGGTTTTCTTCCCACCCCCTTCTGGGGTGGCGCTTTCGTTATCTCCCTTTTGAATATAGCTCCTTTTGTTTGTATATAGTATGGTTTTAGGTTCGTTGTAAATATTCCCACGTTTTGTAATAAAATTCTTGGTTTTAAAGTGTCACAACACTCTGATTATTTCAACCACACACTAATTTTATTGCTCCCCTCCTCATCTCCCCTAGAGAGCCGGGGATGTAAAATAAGCTCTAACAGCATTACTTACTTCTGGAGTAAAAATCTTCCCAGAATTCCTAGCAGCTGTCTCAGAAAACATCTTCGTTGTTTGTTTAGTAACTCACCTACAGTAACCATCTGAAGCCATTTTAACCTCTGCATCTTGACTTTGATCTCTAAACTGGGGGAAAATCCTGAGTGCCCCATTTTCTTCAGGGTGGTTCTGAGATGCTGACATAGCAAATCGTAAGGGGGGGGGGGGGGGGGGGGGACTCGAAGGGATCCAATAGTCACATTAGTTGTCAACATTTTTTATGGCATGAATACTTTCATACACAACTGTTGTACAGCACCTTGAGCGCAGAATCCAGATGAGACACGCCCACAGCAGCAGGACAAAGGTGAGCCAGCTGTGGTAGGTGATGCTCCAAACCTAAGTGTCAAAAGAGGAAGCGCACAGCCATAGTTCATGTTCAAGGATTACAGAAACTACGATCAGCAGTGGCAATGGTCTGTCTACATAACAGACTGTGTTTAGAGAAGCAGGATGTGGCTCTGGTTCTTACCATCATGGCTATGAGAGCACAGACATAGCTCTGCTGCATGACCACCCTACTCAGCAGAAACAATGGGGTCTCATTCAGCTGTCCAGAATGGGCCTCCTCAATCCCTGCAGCAAAAACAACAAATTAGTGTTAAAGATTAACATTGATGGTAAAGTTCGTTTAAAAAACAATCTAGTTCATAGTTCTTTTTTCTCCTATGTATATACATACATAAATGCATACATATATACACATAAATATATATATATATACACACACACACACACACACACATATATATATATATATATATATATATATATATATATATATATACACACATATATACACATATATACACATACATACATACATATATACATACATATATATACATATACATACATACATACATACATATATATATATATATACATATACATACAGTGGGGCAAAAAAGTATTTAGTCAGCCACCGATTGTGCAAGTTCTCCAACTTAAAATGATGACAGAGGTCAGTAATTTTCATCATAGGTACACTTCAACTGTGAGAGACAGAATGTGAAAAAAATCATGAATTCACATGGCAGGATTTTTAAAGAATTTATTTGTAAATCAGGGTGGAAAATAAGTATTTGGTCAATAACAAAAATTAAACTCAATAACTGGCAATAACAGAGGTCAAACGATTACTATAGGTCTTTACCAGGTTTGCACACACAGTAGCTGGTATTTTGGCCCATTCCTCCATGCAGATCTTCTCGAGAGCAGTGATGTTTTGGGGCCGTCGCCGAGCAACACAGACTTTCAACTCCCTCCACAGATTTTCTATGGGGTTGAGGTCTGGAGACTGGCTAGGCCACTCCAGGACTTTCAAATGCTTCTTACGGAGCCACTCCTTTGTTACCCGGGCGGTGTGTTTGGGATCATTGTCATGTTGGAAGACCCAGCCACGTTTCATCTTCAAAGCTCTCACTGATGGAAGGAGGTTTTGGCTCAAAATCTCACGATACATGGTCCCATTCATTCTTTCCTTAACACGGATCAGTCGTCCTGTCCCCTTAGCAGAAAAACAGCCCCAAAGCATGATGTTCCCACCCCCATGCTTCACAGTAGGTATGGTGTTCTTGGGATGCAACTCAGTATTTTTCTTCCTCCAAACACGACGAGTTGAGTTTATACCAAAAAGTTCTACTTTGGTTTCATCTGACCACATGACATTCTCCCAATCCTCTGCTGTATTATCCATGTGCTCTCTGGCAAACTTCAGACAGGCCTGGACATGCACTGGCTTCAGCAGTGGAACACGTCTGGCACTGCAGGATTTGATTCCCTGCCGTTGTAGTGTGTTACTGATGGTGACCTTTGTTACTGTGGTCCCAGCTCTCTGCAGGTCATTCACCAGGTCCCCCCGTGTGCTTCTGGGATTCTTGCTCACCGTTCTCATGATCATTTTGACCCCACAGGATGAGATCTTGCGTGGAGCCCCAGCTCGAGGGAGATTATCAGTGGTCTTGTATGTCTTCCATTTTCTGATAATTGCTCCCACAGTTGATTTTTCCACACCAAGCTGCTTGCCTATTGTAGATTCACTCTTCCCAGTCTGGTACAGGTCTACAATTCTTTTCCTGGTGTTCTTCGAAAGCTCTTTGGTCTTGGCCATAGTGGAGTTTGGAGTCTGACTGTTTGAGGCTGTGGACAGGTGTCGTTTACACAGATAATGAATTCAAACAGGTGCCATTAATACAGATAACGAGTGGAGGACAGAAAAGCTTCTAAAAGAAGACGTTACAGGTCTGTGAGAGCCAGATATTTTCCCTGTTTGAAGTGACCAAATACTTATTTTCCACCCTGATTTACAAATAAATTCTTTAAAAATCCTGCCATGTGAATTCATGGATTTTTTTTCACATTCTGTCTCTCACAGTTGAAGTGTACCTATGATGTAAATTACTGACCTCTGTCATCATTTTAAGTGGTAGAACTTGCACAATCGGTGGCTGACTAAATACTTTTTTGCCCCACTGTATATATACATACACATACATATACATATATATATATATATATATATATATATATATATATATATATATATATATATATATATACATATCGGTATACATACACATACATAAATATACATATATATACATACATATATACACATACATATATATATATATATATATATTAGCTGTATATTTTGACTATTATTTACTGAAAAGGATCTCTCCCTACAGCCCGTTCTGCCATTTTGGGCCCGGCGTCACCGTGCGTGGCGGAGTGACGTATACTACCCCTCCCCGCACTGTTGCTTAGCGCTCTAACGCCATCTCATGGTATCTCTTGTACATTACACTTTTTCTTGTGATCTGTGGCTCTGGTGACTTATCATGTCTAGTCAGGAAGCTCTAAATCCACAGACAGTGGGGAAAAGAATCATCGATTCTGTTCTGATGACAGTTGGTACTGCCGCTCTGGCTGCTCATGGCTATGATGACTCTTTGCAGGAACGTACGCCAGATGAGTTGTTCAAAATGTGGCACAATCACGCGGACAGCTTGCCCAGCAAGGGTGACAAGGTTAGAGCAGCAGCTCGTACCGAGAACCTGGCGGGGTTTGGTGTTCTCCTAGCGTATCTCTGGGACAAAGAGACAGAGAGCCACGTAAGTACACAAGGAACGCTGCGAGCACTGTCTGAGGGAAGCGAGAAGCCAGCGGTTCCACTTCTGATGGGGAGTCTTGCTGGAAAGAGCAGAATGAAGCTCTAGAGCAGAATGCAGTGTTGTTGGATAAGAAAATCAGAGCAGAAAATGAAGTAACTGGTTTACAGAAAGAGGTGAGTGAGCTGAGGGCTGTTCTCCTTTCAGCTGCACATCAGGCACAAATCTGGGATTTGGGAAATTGCTGATGTAAAAACGCAGATTTCTGATCTCACTAGAGAAGGAAGGGTGACCCCTTCACCCCCCCCCCTCCCCCAGCCCCACCGGCTCCACCTGCTCCTCCACCTGCTGCCTGTGCTGCTGATGTGGTTGTGCCAGCCCTCCAGCCGGCTCAACCACATCCACCTGTGCCTCCAGCCCACTGCCCCCACCTGCTACACCTGCCGGTGCTGCTGCGGTGGTCGTACAGCTCCCCAGCCAGCTCAACAATATCCACCTGTAACCATGGCTGACATCTATAGCATGTCACGGCGCGTCAAGAATCCTCGACCACGTAATTCATACCTAGTTGATGCGTACCTCAGTGACCTTTAAAATCATTTTCAGAGATTTCCTGGGAGTAACTCTCCAGGACAGGATCTTTTTGATAAGGTTAACCTCCGATGGCATGGGTTCGTTCATTGACCGTCAGCAGGATGCGATTGCGGATGATTACAGCCGGCTGGAGGCTGCAATTCAAAGAGAATATACTTACAGTGCTAAAGAAGCTGGTTTAAAGTTAGCTTTGTCTGTCAAACAAGGTCGTTCTGAAGACCCACAAGCTCTCTACCAACGCCTCTTTGATGCGTACTTTGGTACAGCATGTAAGAAGGGGATGGAAGATGAAAAAGGTTTTAAAGAGCTTTTCCTTGATAATTTAAACACCAAAAACAACCGAAAGATAGAGAAGACCCACTCCTTATACAGGAAAAATCAGCTTGTCTCTAGCTTTTTATCTTGTTTCTCTACCCATTGTTGAAGTGTGAGCTGCAGAAGCTTTTTCCGATTAGCGCTTCACTTTAGGCATAGCGGGCTCCCAAAACATTCTCCTAATAAATGGATTGTCCACTTTATGATGACATGACACAGATGGAAATCAGCTTTAGAGCCATGATGTTTACTGTCAAGGTGTGGGAGCTACTTAAGCCCACCCTGTTAAATAGACAACTTTAATCCCGTAGTAGCGTGGTGCAGCGAGCTGCTTCTGGGACGGACCTGAAATGTTCCACGCCGCAGGCTAATTGGATCAACCCACAGGCTAAAATAAATTATATTTGAAGCAGCGACGTTCCGCTGCCATTCTGCACCGCGGCTGCCTCCAGTGTGGATTAGGGGTAAGGGGAATGTATTTTTATAGTTCATCCACTAGATGTAATTAAAACTTGAAATTATAAATAGATTAGATTAGGATTGACAGGTAGCAGCTGAGCCATCAGAGCTAGCACTAAGGGCTTGCTCCAGGTAAGGCCTCAGCCTGGGCCTCTTGTTAAAAGTGTTCCGCCATTTTGATTCTCAGTTGCATCCTCTGTGTATTGATTCTTGGATGTTAATCCTGCAGTTACTGGGCAAACACGGCAACCTGTGGTATTAACTACACTAACAAACCATCGAAAAAGTCTCTGATCCATTTTTCAGCAAGTAACATTGTTTTCCTGTGCTTTCAGGCGATGGTGGCACAGGAGTTAAGTGCTCGCCCCGTAATCAGAAGGTTGCAGGTTCGAGTCCCGCTCAGTCTGTCGCTGTCGTTGTGTCCTTGGGCAAGACACTTAACCCACGTTGCCTGCTGGTGGTGGTCGGAGGGACTGGTGGCGCCAGTGCTCAGCAGCCTCGCCTCTGTCAGTGCGCCCCAGGGCAGCTGTGGCTACATCGTAGCTCATCCCCACCAGTGTGTGAATGGGTGTGTGAATGGGTGAAGGACTGGTTGTGTTGTAAAGCGCCTTGGGGGGTTCCAGGACTCTAGAAGGCGCTATATCAAATACAGGCCATTTACCATTTCATTCGCTGGTTGAATGGGGTAAAATGCTGTGCATTTAACAGTACACCAGTTGGTCAAAAATGGGTTGATATTTGTGTTGGTCAGGCTACGTACACAAACTGTACTTTCTCCCTCTCATCTGCAGCACCAGCTTTCCAGACCTCTGACTGCAGGCACAACAGCGCAGCTGGGGCTGCTGCATGTACCAGCCGTCTGGCTCTGACTGCTGCAGTGCAGACCAACCACGGAGCTCTCTGACGAAGACCACAGACACACTGCAGATTGGTGAGTTGATGAATGCTTCACATTAGAGGCTCTCAACCACAGTTTTCTGGCTAAAAGCGATCAAAAACTTCTTTTAGTTTCAGTTAGCTCGGTAGGTTAGGTCGTAGCTACATCAGTTCAGAATTTGATGGGTGTGATAGCTGCTCACATTCTCACGGCCCCACTTTCAGCTCCACCTCTTTGTAGTAGTTTGCTGCGTGGCTGGCTGCACCAACAGACACGTTTTTCATAAAGTTCTTCGGTGTACTGGTCGAAGGGGCATAACCCAATGACCCATAACTCATATATGATGGACCAACCCTGACGTCACCCCAAGGTTTCTGATTAGCTTAATTGAAGCCCAAAGCGTGGTTCCTATCACCGCCATCTTGGCCGTGTCACACGCCTTGTCACTTCCGGACAACTATTACCATTTAACAGGGAACTCAACAACATAAAAGTGTTATAAGGCTACAATCAAGCATTTTTTTTACTAAATTCAAAGGAGTTTTAACATGCATGAACAGTTTCTCTGTCATCCATCATATAAGACCAGGAAGTTGGCTACAACCTGGCTTACCAGCCAACCAGAACCAATAAGGCCCACCACCTTAAAGGGCTATGCCTATATTGATAGAATCTGGAGCTACAATACGTAACCAACATCCTATTTCATAAAGACTCTGTCCTTTAAAGCTGTTGTTTATTGAGTTAAAAGGTGGAGAGGGTTATAGTCCTTTCCTCAGGGTCATCTGCATCACCAGAGAAAGACATCCAATGCCTAATAACCCCAAGAAAATCACTCTTGTTGTATGGAAGCACTGTGCCATTAGCAGAGAGGGGGAAAATCTCTAAAAACTGCTGTGATCCAACATCAACTCAGTAACCCAGAGCAGCTCAAAGCCACAACTCCATATATGGACCATAGACATATATAAGAGTATCAAGACTCGGTTCTTGTTGATAACCAGTTCCCACTTCCCACTGGCAATACTGCAGGCAACTAATCAACTAACACTGTCTATTATGTTAGCGTCATTTGACTTGTACGCACACCTCCACACTAAGATTTAACATTTTGCCCATTTTGTTGTACGTTCTATTTTTGGGGAATCGTCAAAACGTTTGACTAAGGGGGTACTCGTGGTACGAGATAACAGCTCAGGGGGTCCACGAGTCAAAAAGTTGGGACCTACTGTCCTACGTGGTTAAAAATGTCCTACCTGAGACATTTCCACATCTACCAATTAGGCAGGTGTGGCTGCCTTGAGAAGGCTCGTGTTTTTTTGACACTATATGAATAAACTGAACAGATGTAACTGATTCTTGATTTTTTTAGTTCTATCTAAGCCATCCCATCTAACCCACATAAAAATAACAAGAGATAAATAATTTGTTTATTTTTTTACTAATGAGATGCAGAATAACAGAGTAAATAATGATCAATACCCTTGTCAGGTGGGCTGTCTTCAGCCACAGGTTCAGCTGGGCTGTCTGTGTCCACAGAGACAATAGTGTTCTAAAAAAAGCACATAAGACTAGTTCAGTAGAATTGTCTCGAGATCGGACAGCCTGTTGGTGAGAGATGTTGTAGAGGACAAGTTAGAGGAGTCACAGCTTTTACATCTACATTCAAATAATAAATGAACTAAACTAAACCTTTAAAATCTCAACGACTAAGAAACATCAGGAAATCCATTGAGTCCTATTAACCAGAATAAACATGATTATGAAGATGAAGTGAGTCACAGCTTCCAGGTTCTTAGTTGGTAACAAAATACTAAGATTAAATAAAAATAAATAAAAACAGCACACATAATGAAATCATAAAGAATGTAAATTGCTCATTTGCTATATTTGTCAAACCCCCAGTTGGTCACATGAAAGGCTATTCACTGAGCCAAGTTCTGCTGGAGGCTTCCTCTCCACTCCCGCTACATGCTTGCTTAGTATGGGAATTGCTGATAGAGTGAATGCTGTTAGTCAGTGACTCTACGCAATCCATGGACGTAATTTTGGGGGGGGGACAGGGGGGACATGTCCCCCCCACTTTTTCCAAAGTCAAGTTTTGACCCCTGCACTTTTTACCATCCAAAAACAATATTACGCTATATTAAATTGACACTGGTTGAGCTCTAGGACCAAGCGGAAAGCAACCGTTTGTGTTGAAGCCGGTTTCCCATTAGAACATATTGTAAAGATCCCCCACCCCACCCACCCCACCCCGTGTCCCCCCCACTTCTAAAGTGAAAATTACGTCCTTGACGCAATCTGCTAGGTGTCCGCCACCAAAAGGCATCCCATAAAAACCTTGGCTCCTCCTAGAAAACCTGCATGTAGACTGGTTGAGTGAACTCCTATGCACGTTCCGGGACCCTACTAGGGGTATAGAGCTGGTCTAATGTTCCACAGCCAGGTCAAAAAGAGCATACAGATCCCCTGTAGTTGGAACACAATGTGCAGGGGAACCACCTCCCTGGTCTGCAAATCCAGCATTACTGACCCTGATGTTGATGATGCAATGTTGCAGAGGTGTCAACCAACATCTCCACACAAATGCCTTTCCCTCTAAAGCTGGGCGGACACTGTGCAACTTTTTCACTCGTAGCACTCAGCTTCAGCTCAAACTGTACGACTTCCTCGCAGGGCAGATCTTACGAGCCATGTGCTCACACTGGACGACCCAGTTCTCGGATGCGACCTGACTGCTCACACTGTACGTCTGGTAGCAACACGTCAGACCTAAAAATATGCTAAAAATAGCAGTTTTTACACAACACGTCAGACTTTTTTGTCTTGTTTTGCCTGTTGTCCTTCAGGAGTGCTGCAGGAGGACACACAGGGATTTATGGGGGTTGGATGAGGAAAACGAAATAAAGAAAGTAAATCTGTGTTTTGTGATCAGTTTAATTTGACATGAACACGACAAACACGCTTTCTTGACAATCTTTGAGAGTAAAAAAAACCGTGTAGAAATAAAAACGAACAACGTGTGTTATTAGGGAAATAGCGGGTGAGCGGTGTTGATGCATGATTGCGCATGCGCCGTGAGCGGTTCTGGTACATTTTGGGTTGCAGCTGCTCGCAGCGCTGCTTCAAAAGTGTGATACCCTCACGAGGGACGAGCAAAATATCAAACACGCCAGAAGTCCGTGCGAGCTCACGATTGCTGGTCACGTGGTGTTAATCGCCTCTTGTAACCCCCTGTATACTACATGACGCTCAGCGCAATACTCGCCCCGATCTTGTGGATTCTCGCACGAGTGGAAAATCGGCTCAAAAAAGTGAAAAAGTCGCACAGTGTACGCCCGACTGAAGATTCCTCACTCTGGGAATGTAGGTCACTGTTTGACCTTTTGACTAAATCACAACCCATTTTATACCTCAAGTCTTCTGCAGACTTGCAAGTTTATACATGTCACCAGGTAAAAAAGAAACAAGAACACAGAGCAACTTAATCTAGTCCTACAGGAATTCTAAAACATTTGTGAATGCTCAAACAGACGTGACATTAATAATGTTAATAATCACTCATACCTGTGTGTCATCTCTTTCTTCATTCCAGGTTCTCAACTCTACTAACTCTTCCATTAACTCTGCTTTCCCCCAACGTCGCTCAGCCTGAACACAAGGTGAGATGTAAAATTAAATGGATACGTACCAAAAGATTTTAAGGTTGCTGTAATCAAACTACTTAAGAAACCTTCTCTGGATCCATATGACCCAATGAATTATAGACCAATATCTAATCTTCCATTTTTATCCAAAGTCTTTGAGAAAATGGTGGCCATCCAAGTATGTGAGCATCTAAATACTAATGATCTGTTTGAGGAAATTCAGTCTGGTTTTAGAGAGTATCACAACACTGAAACTGCATTAGTGAGGGTTACAAATGATATTCTCATGGCCTCAGATAAGAATCTTGTGTCTGTTCTAGTCTTGTTAGATCTCAGTTCTGCCTTTGACACAGTTGATCACAATGTTCTTTTAGAAAGGCTTGAACATGTTGTAGGGATCAAAGCAACAGGGCTTGGCTGGTTAAAATCCTACCTGACTGATAGATTTCATTTTGTAAATGTACATGACAAATCTTCTTCATACTCCAGGGTCACCTGTGGAGTACCACAGGGTTCAGTGCTTGGACCAATTCTTTTTACTCTCTCTATATATATGCTTCCAATTGGTAAAATCATTAGACAGCATGGGATAAACTTCCACTGTTATCCTGACAATATTCACAGGGTGCGAGCCAGGTCAAAGGTCACGCCAAGATTCCTGACGGAAGGTTTGGTGTGAGATGCAAGCTGACCAAGAGAGTCTCTGACTTTGGGAACCAGCTTGTCTGGGGCACAGATGAGGATCTCAGTCTTATGTTCATTCAGCTGTAGAAAGCTCCCAGCCATCCAGGTTTTAATAGAGTCTAAGCAGGTGTGTAACAGCTGCAGCTTAGACATCTCATGGAGCTTAAAGGAGATGTACAGTTGGATGTCATCTGCATAAAGATGGTAGGAGATTCCTTTGAAGGAGCTCAGGATGTGCTGAAGAGGGAGCAGATAGAAGAGGAAGAGCAGAGGCCCCAGCACAGAACCTTGTGGGACACCATGGGTAAGGAAGGTGGTGGAGGACCTAAACTTGGAGACCGCCACAAAAAAGGAGCGCTTAGAAAGATAAGAGGAGAACTACTCCAGAGCAGTTCCTGATAGGCCTACCCAGTCTCTCGGCCTCTCCAGTAGCAGGTGATGGCCAACAGTGTCAAAGGCTGCAGTCAGGTCCAGCAGGACCAGAACAGAACAGTCCCCTGCATCACTGTGAGTCAGAAGGTGAGACCCTGTGAGACCCTAAGAAGAGCTGTTTCAGTAGAATGAGCTCTACGAAAACCTGACTGGAAGCTATCATAGATGTTATGTTCATCAAGAGCAGCTGTGAGTTGTTTAGCCACAACAACTGTGAGTTGTTTAGCCACAAACTTTTCCAAGATCTTGGAGATGAACGGAAGTTTAGAGATGGGTCTGAAGCTGCTATGGAGATAGGCGTCAAGAATCGGTTTTTAAAGAAGTGGGTGGATTACAGCATTCTTTAAGTAAGCAGGGACCTGACCAGAAACCAGAGAAGCGTTAATAATGGAGAGCACGCTGGGACCGATGGACTGAAAAGCACTTTTAAACAAAGATGAGGGTAAGATGTCGAGGGGGCTTGCAGAGGTCTTCATAGAGTTAACTAGTTTGGTTAACTCAGGCAAAGAAACAGGAGCAAAGCTATCTAGGATGATGGGCCTGGTTGGAGTCGGGAGAGGCAGCAATAAGGCTGAAGGAGAGATGCTAGATCTAACCTTATTGACTTTGTCCACAAAGAAAGACAGAAAGTTCTCACAGTCTGCAACAGAGTGGATGGAGGCTGTAGGAGAGGCAGGAGAGACTATGCTGCTGATGGTGTTAAACAGCACCTTGGGGTTCCCTTTGCTCTGGGACACCAGGTTGGAGAAATAGGAAACCCTGGCGTCTCTGACTGCAGAGTTAAAGGATGTCAGAAGATCCTTTAGGTGCAGCAGATGGACGTGGAGATGGATTTTCTTCCACAAGCGCTCAATTTTTCTGAATTGTTGCTTCATTAAACCAGGGAGTAGGGTTCACTGCAGGAACTGATCTGGTTCTGACAGGACAGATATTGTCCAGAATGGAGAGGCAGTGCTCGTTAAACTGAGAAGTTAAGGAATCTGGGTCATTATCAGAAGAACAGGGTGGATGAAAAGCAGCAGAAAAATTGCTAGCTGTGCTCTCATTAAGAAAACGAGAACTAACCATACGGCGAGCAGGAGGTGGGGATGCTGAAACTGACAAGTTAAAGAAAATGCAATGGTGATCTGAAATATAATCGTCCTCAGGACAAGCACTGTCAGCATTTAGACTCAGGGTAAAAACAAGGTCTAGAGTGTGCCCCCTGGTGTGTGTGGGGCCAGAATCATGCTGGGTAAAGCTGAAGGAGTCCATAAGGCTGGAGAAATTCATGGCAAAGAGATCGGAGGGATCATCAACGTGGATGTTAAATTCACCAACAATCACCAGCCTGGACAGCTTCACAGTGGAGGATAGAAAGTCACTAAACTCCTGAAGGAAAGAACTGTTTGGACCAGGTAGACGATAGACCACAGCACAGTAGAACGGGTCCTTACGCCCGACTTTAATCAGCTGCAGTTCAAAGGAAACAAAGTGACCAGAGGTTGTAGAGCTACATGGAAGATGGTCTCTGAAAACAACAGCTAGGCCTCCACACGACCAGAACCCCGAGGCTGGCTAAGAAAAGAATAACCACTCGGGCAGAGTTCAATCAGAGCAGAATAATCAGATGTTTGCTGCCAAACTTCAGTCAGAAACAGAAAATCCAGGTTTTTAGAGATAATTAAATCACTGAGCAGGAAGGACTTGTTGTTAACAGAGCAGGTATTTAATAGAGCCATGCTGAGTGAGGTGGAGGAATCAGAAACTACAGAAACAGCTGGAGTTAGTGGACGTAAATTAGCAGGGTTAGATCCATGGTGTTTATAAAAACCACTTATGGAGGGAACAGGAGGAGAAACCACTGAGGAATGAGGATAAACCGACCTTAAAAAACTTGGACGAGATGGTAGGAGGGACACTACTGAAGAGGATCGCAGACAGGAGCAAGGTGGAAAAGAGGAGGTTAGTAGAGAAAAGTTTGAAAAAGTGGCCGGTGACCGCGGCTAAGCCAAGCACAGGCGCCATCTTGTTACCGTCCGGAAGCGGTCTGCTGTGCCATATCCAACCCAAAAGTAAACAAAAAAAAAAAAAGATTTAGGAAGAAAACTCAGGATATATTCAAACTGATAAAGGAATTAAGGCAGTACAGTCATCAATGGTGTTAATTCTTCCCTTAAAGACAGGGGCAAGGACTCACATTTAAAATGAGCTAATAGAAGATTCTTATTAGTGCTAGCCTGGCCTGCCAGACTTGTCCTCTGTTTACCTCGACACAGAGAACCCAAACGGAAGCATGGGACTGGCTGGTCAGGCTACATTAGTCCAACAAACATCCTTAAATGTATGTGTAATCCAAATACCCAAATATTTAAACTCATTTTAAATGGAATGAAGCCAGTTAGACCCCCCCTCCCCCCCCCCCAAAAAAAAGAGTGACTGGCATCATTTTACTTCTCCGGACATCAACCTTAAAGCCAGAGATCTGACTAAACGTACCAAGAAGAGTCAACAGCAAGGGGATAAGGGCTAGAGGAACTGAAATAAACAAAAGCATATCACCGGCATAAAGAGAGACTTTCTCTGGGACCCTTAAACATTTTCACCTCAGCTGATGTGCTAAATTCTGCTGAGGTTTCATATATCAAGGCCTCCATAAACACAACGTATCTGGCAGAAGAAAATTAACAATCAACAGAGCAATCAACTGATAGAGGGATCTAGTTTCATTGCGCCGTTCGTGTCAGCAGGGCATGACGCTTAGCCTGGTGGGTGGCCAAGCAAAGCCTGGCGGGCCGCCAGGCTTATAAAGCGCTGGGGGAAACCCTGAACACACTCTAAAACACTCCAATGTGAAATAAAACTGTTACATACCAGAACAGGTGTTACATGATATCCTGACTTGAGAACAGCTGTTACAGTCAAGTACAGGAAAAGAAGGATTCCAGGGTGGACATAAACAGGCCAGGTGTGGTTGGGATTAAGGATGAGGTCATCAGAAATGGAGCAGTTCCCTGGTACGATAATATCCTTCAGACCAAAAAGTCTAGAAACAAAAATCAGATTAAGATTCACTCACTTCTGGAAGGCATTATAATTCAAGGTAAAATGTGGCTCATTCATCATCGATAGCTCGATAAAGTCTCTCTCTCGTGTGTGTGTGTGTGTGTGTGTCTGTTGGTTGACTAGAGCCGTCTCAAGGCACTTCCCACAATAAACATTCCATATAAAGTATCTAATCGAATAACAAAAATGTTAATATTGTGACAAAAACTGAGTTTTAGAAGCTCTAATTCAGAAATTAGAGCTAGCTTCCTGCTCAGTGTGCTGACGTCTCACCTAGCCCAGAGATGATGGGGAGGGAAGAGGTCCTGGGCGAATAAGCTCTGGTATAAGTACAGACACATCATGTGACCAGCGGTAAAAAATCCCACCATAACGCAGAGTGCATTGAAACCCAGGTGGCTGATGGGTAGATGGCACGCCCACCATGTGCACACACCAATAAAAAGGAGGAAGTAAACGGCTGAGAAGGCTGAGGGCAGGGTGATGCCTGGAGTGGAGAGACAACAGAAAGATATTTAATATAGACAGACAAGCATATTCAAACATATTAAACATGTTTTTATTCATGCCCCAACTTACATTTAACTAGATCACTTCATATCTAGACAAACCCTAGCAGTGGCAAAAGATTTTGCTCTGCACACTCTATTGTAGCCTCAGCAGGTCTACCACTGGCCTAAACAAGCTTAGATTGGGCCAACCACAGCACTCTACGCTCGTAGTGAGATACTGGGTGGGCTTAGCAATAGAGATGCACCAAAGAAAAGCTAGAGAGGTGGCGTGTTAGGAACGGCTTTGGGTTTTTCTTTGAGACATGAGCAGATAGAGGTACAAGTCGCGCCCTGTCTGGAGTCTCCACCCACACTTGCTTTTGAGAGAGGTGCTGAGGTATAAACGTCCACCTCCCCGCGCTCTGAATTTCTCCATCAGAGTAATGAGCCGTTAGGAAGCGCGCGCACACACACACACACTCACGCACGCACGCATACACACAAACACCCACCCACACATGTAAGCAAACACGCATGCACACAGACACATGCGGCGCACACAAAGCGTACACACACGCTGTTATGGAAAAACTTATGTTTATTAGTTCTTGATCATGGACTCAATCAACTGAATGTAAATGTATTGCTCTATGCCTCTCTGCATACTCACACATTCAGGAGGCATAACGCACCAAACATCCGGTCACAGAGTTTATTTATAGAGAGGGAGAGATTGTGTGTGTGTGTGTGGAAAGTCACATTTACATTCAGTTGATTGAGTCCATGATCAATGAGTCCATGATCAAGAATTAATAAACATACGTTTTTCCATAACCACGCACAGCGCAGTAGAAGGAGCACAGAAACATCAGCAGGCTGGGGATTTCCTTTCAACCTCGCTCACTTGAAGAAAGAGGACGTACTTTTAAGAGGCCTGCAGCTCTGAGCTGAATCGTTTCATACCAGCTTGTGAGTGGCTAAGCCTCAGCTATGGTGCAGAGCAGCCGCATTAGAAATACTGGCCAACAGAGATGATATCAGCTTAGATAATAGAGGTGGTTGATTCAAATTCAAATGTAGAGCAGAACCTGAAGAGAGTGCTACACTGATGTTTAGGCTGAATATTCGCAGTAAAATGCCAAAATGAAGACTAAACATGTCCACAGTACTGTTAGACACTCATTTATACAGTTTAGCAGCAAAATAAAACTTTGTTTGGGGTCACTTGCTTTTTATATCCTCAAAGGTAAACTATGTAAGAATTGAGTAACAGTGACATCGTGTGGTCAGATTTGGTTACTGCAGTTGACGTTTCTGTGGGTTACCATGTAGTGTTAGGAAACTAAAGTTTAGGTTTTAACAACCATGAAAAACCATCTGTGTTTTCACAATTATGAATTACTTCAGAAAAACTATATTACGTCATACCAAGTTTATTTCTATACCACATTTTAAAACAGCATGACAGCTGATCAAAGTGATGAACAAAGATACAAAATACAACAATGATAAAAAATAACAGCATAAGAAAAATCAAACTGTGAGATACAATTATAAATCAGTGTTCAAAAGCAAGATAATATAATATAGTAATATATATATATATATATATATATATATATATATATATATAATATGGTGGAGAAAAATAGGGCAACATTAGAATCACAGACCTGATAAATATATAAACCTGTACGTTTTACATCAGAACATGGTTATTATATAACGAATAAAGAAGGAAGGATTTCACTTGGGGAATCACAACAAAAATAAAACCTACTGTAATTGCAAAAGCAACTGTGTATGATAAAACGATGAAAAGTAAAACTAAATGAGATGAGAAGTCCGTATTTTGCTAATTTGTACTGTGAGGAGCCAAATGAGGAATTAAATTTCCATGATGGCCTGGAGACCACAAGATTCCCTCATAGAAGCTGGCAGTAGTTCCCACGATGAAGGAAGTCTGGTCTGTCGATGGACGACTACTTCCCTGACACGATTACCCATCAACCAGAAGAGGATGGGTGGAGTCTTTATTTTGTCTGGAATTATTGGCCTGGAGGTAATAAAGAATACAAAAATTATCGTTATACAACTTTACATCATAAGGATGATCTAAATTATTGCCTCACAGCCATCATTTATTTGGAGGTTTTCAATCCAGCTTTGTGCAACAAAAATGATGAGATTATCCTTGATAATGACTTTTTTTAAATCTATATTTAGGTAGCACGGCCAGTACTTATATCATAAATCATTTAGACATGTTTGATGGTGTAAACTTCACTTGCAGCACCTCTTGTGAACTGGCTTTGCTGAAGTCCTATTGGTGATGCAAACCTCCTCCTAGGATCATCAGGTCATCTAAAGGCTCCAAAGCTCCTTCGCCGTCATTTAGACGAAACACCTGTTGACAAAATGTTAATTGTATCATTCTGCTTTTATAGAGTTGAACACATCTGCAGCAGATAAGATTGTCAGGTTTCAATGAGCTAAAAATAAATTCAGATGTTAGATAAATGTACATTTTGTGCTTTAACGTACAACAAATGTACAATTTAATCAACGGATAAGAGGTTTTAACAATATACAATTACTATCAGTTAATATTCTCAGCTCTACTGACTCTCAAACTATTTTCAACATTCAAAACTCTGCTCAACCCTCCGTCTCCACCTCCTACCAACAATCTATCAGCTGACACCTTTGCCTCATTCTTCACTAACAAAGTGGCAGCTATAAGCAAACAGTTTACTCAACTGGCCACTCCTGAACATTCGCTACCACAAACTCCTTCTAGCCCAACCATTTCAAGCCCTACTGCTTCATTTTTCTCTTTTTCCCCTCTCACTGAGAACTGTGTGTCCAAGCTTCTCACGTGCAGCCGCCCTACTACATGCCCACTTGACCCCATTCCGACTAAGCTGCTCCAAGCTATTGCTCCTACAGTAGCCGCAGCAGTCACACATGATCAACGCTTCACTGACATCTGGTACATTTCCCACCTCTCTCAAGCATGCTCAGGTTAAACCGCTGCTAAAAAAAACATCTCTTCCTCCAAATCATGTGGAGAACTACCGACCTATCTCTCTCCTCCCTTTTCTGTCCAAAATCATTGAAAAGGTGGCTTTCAAGCAGATCACAGAATACCTCTCACAAAACTGTCTGCTTGACCCTTACCAATCTGGGTTCAAAAAGGGCCACTCCACTGACACTGCTCTGTTAGCAGTGATGGAATCCTTAAAAGAAGCTAAAGCGACTGCAAAATCCTCAGCGCTTATCCTGCTTGACTTATCGGCTGCATTTGACACCGTCAACCATGGCTTGCTTTTGTCCACACTCTCTAGCAGGGGCATCACAGAGAAAGCACACGCCTGGTTTGAATTGTACCTCACAGGATGATCATTCAGTGTATCTTGGCTTGGACAATCCTCTACCGTGCACCATCTTGCCACAGAAGTCCCCCAGAGCTCTGTACTAGGACCTCTTCTCTTTGCCATATACAACACATCACTGGGTGAGATCATTCAATCACATGGCTTCTCCTACCACTGCTATGCAGACGACACCCAGCTCTATCTGTCATTTCCACCGGACGACCACACTGTCTCTGCACGAATATCAAACTGTCTCTCTGACGTATCAAAATGGATGAATCCCACCATCTCTAACTCAACCTCTCTAAAACTGAACTACTTGTCATCCCAGCGAAACCATCCATACAGCACAATATCTCAATCCAATATGACTTCCTATCTCTGGCTCCTTCAAAGGCAGTTCGAAATCTGGGTGTTGTGATTGATAAACACCTGACCTTTAAAGATCATGTTGCCTCTGTTGCTCGTTCATGCCGCTTTGCGCTGTATAACATACGAAAGATAAGACCATACCTAACACAATATTCCACCCAGCTCCTGGTGCAATCTGTCATCTCCTGCCTCGATTACTGCAATGCCCTTCTAACTGGTCTTCCAGGCCATACTGTGAGACCTCTTCAAATGGTCCAGAACGCAGCGGCGCATCTGGTCTTCAATCAGGCAAAAACAGCACATGTCACCCCTCTGCTCATTGAGCTCCACTGGCTACCGCTAGCAGCACGCATCAAATTCAAATTGCTAACACTAGCATACAAAGTCAGAGATGGTACGGCTCCAATCTACCTGAATCCTCTTGCAAAGGCTTACGTCTCAGCCCGGCCGCTCCGGTCATCACAGGATTGTCTGCTAGCAGTGCCTACACCACGCTCGGGACAATCCAGACTCTTCTCATGCATCGTTCCACAAATGTGGAATGACCTTCCAAGCACTACCAGGACAGGGGCTTCCTTTTAAATTTTCAAGAAACTCCTGAAGACCCTGCTCTTCAGAGAGTATCTTCTTAACTAGCACCCTCCCTGCACCCCCCCCCCCCCCCCCCTCCCACCACCACCACCACCATCCACTCCTTTGATCCCTCCTCTCCATGATAATGTCAAGTTGTTGTTATTGTTGTTGTTAGCCTCAAGGGCAACATGCCGATTATCACTTGTAAGTCGCTTTGGACAAAAGCGTCTGCTACATACATAAACATAAACAATATACCGTAAATCCTCTAATACAGGCCCGGGCCTGTATTTGACTCAAGCTCATCAAGCTCCAGGCCTTTATTGGAAGGAGGGCCAGTATTAGAGGCAGGCCTCTATTTCAATTTGAGCAAAATGAACTAATGGTTCATTGGAGTTTTTGACAATTAATATTGAGCCCACATTTTCAAAGTTAAACACATTTCTTTTAACAACGGTAGTTTCTGCTTCAGCCCTCTCCCCCCTCCCCCTGCACAGCAGCAGCAAACTCACTGATGCGCCTGCAGCCTCTCAGAGTTCCTGCTGCTCTAAACATTAAAATAATTATTTCATTTTCTGTTCCTCGCTTCTGATTACCTTCAATGGTTTCTGTTTGTTGCAACCACCAGGTACAAAAACTAACTTGTTTTTATTTGACTATTTTTCTGTCCTGCCTGTTTATTATCTTCCTGCATCTCCTCTCAATCCTAAAGAGAAACTGCTACCTGGGTTCATATATATTCACCTCATGAGTTACCTTTGAACTGCAGTTCTAAAAGATCTACCGACCGCAAAAACAGCGGAGTGCTAGCTGCTCGCCGGCCGCATCAGTGATCAGTGCGTCACCGGATGACAAGTTGATGCGCCCCGCTCCACATCAAAACGCATCAGGCGCAAATAAAAGACAGAAAACATCAAAGGAAATGAACCGACATGAACGAGCGCGTTAAATAATTTGGCAACACCTGATTGTTACTGTGGCTGTGCTCAGGAGGCAGATTACCGACCGCAAAAACAGTGGAGTGCTCCCTGCGTGGCGGCCGCATCAGTGATCAGTGCGTCGGAGGACAAGGTGATGTGCCCCGCTCCACAGCAGTGAAACACATCAGGCGCAAATATAAGACAGCAAACATTAAAGGAAATGAACCGACATGAACGATCGCGTATCAGTACCGATGCTCTGGCAGAGCACGTTGCCCCCCTGAGCGCAGGAGCTTGTCACCTGCTGACAGCAGGCTGCTGTCTTTTCTGAGGGCTGCATCTCGCCGGTAATTATCACGTGACAGCGACTGGTCGACGACAGGCATAAAAAGTCACTATAGTGAAGTCGACTAGTTCATACAACCCCTATTGCTCCCCAGTGTTCTGCAGCGCACGTTCTCTTTGAATTTGATATCAAATTTTCGCCTCCTCTTCGTCTCCGCACGGTTAAAGTTACCCTCGCGGTCTATCACTCGCAAATCAAAAGTGAGACAATGACACAACCGCCCCCGTACTTGCTTGTTACCACATTCCACCCGGCCACAATAAGAGACCGGCCATTATTCACCTCCGCCGACTCCAACACCGGCCAAAATTGGAGACCCGGCCTTTAATTGAATACAGGCCTGTATTAGAGGATTTGCGGTAAGCAAATGGGTGACATTTGAGCTAGCTTGTTTTTGCTGCTGGATAAAAAGAAAAACTAAACTCGTTCATAACAGATAAACGTGATATAAAGACAGCATTTACGTTTGCAGTAACTAGAATTTGAAGATAGGTAGACAATAAATCCTGTTTGTTATTTATGTAATAAAATAAACCAACAATGTACACAGGTACCATAATTAGAAGCGCTTTCCATCTTAACACCACCCAGAAACCTCTCCTTACTCATAACAGCAGGGCAGCATTCTCTGGGGTGCTGAGCGGCGTCGAGGCGCTCGACCGAGCCTCAGTCCCGGTGCTGTGGGCCGTGAAGGCCGCCAACAGTGGGGCTGATACCAGGGCGCTCGGAGGTTATAGATACTGAGTATTTGAACACTCCTCACATGTCAGCAGACATTCTGTAACAAAATAAACACAAAACGTGAGCACATACACTCACGAAAAGTAAAAAATACTAACTAACCACCGTTAGTGGTGATGCAAGTTAGCTTTTAGCTTTGTGGGTCACACAATGCCATCTGCTGCTGTTTTTGTTTGGTCAAGCAACAAATACTAGATCTTACCTGTCTAGGAGAACTCTGCATCCCTCCTGAAATTGATTTGGTCCAAACATCTCCATCTTTGAAAATAACTCGTTTAGCTTCGTTTTATTCCTCTTGTTGCTCCTCAGTCTTTGGGAAGGATGGAGGCTTCTTATGGTTGCAAGAAAATCATTCTGTACTGCTCTGTGTGCTGGCTGCAGTTCTCTCCACAACACTGTTTCAACTAACCAGGAGGAAAAAGGCTCCTCATGGCTGGAGATTAGCTGCTGGTGGAGTCTGGAGGCGAATAACAAATGCAACACTGTGGTGGTGTCTAAGATGTGGCAACCCACCAGGCTCAAATATGATTGGCTCTGGGACCGGGACAAATGAGAGGAATGGAAAGGCCATCACGACCCGGCCTTTTTTGAAAACAGAAAACCTGGCATTCCCCCAGCCAGCTGAAAAGGAGATCTTGTCATTGTAACCTTTCCTCAATGTGAAAGACACACTGGACTGTTTTGTGATTATTTTACTGTCCAATTCGTACATAGTTCACCTCGTCTCGTCTTCTTCCGCCTATCTGGGTCCGGGTCGCGGGGGCAGCATCCCAACTAAGGAGTTCCAGACCGTCCTCTCCCCGGCCACCTTCATCAGCTCCTTCGGCAGGACCCAAAGACGTTCCTGGGCCAGTTCTGAGATATACTTTCTCCAACGTGTCCTGGGTCGACCAGGGGGCCTCCTGCCGAAAGGACATGCCTGAAACACCTCCCTGAGGAGGCATCCTAACAAGATGCTCAAACCACCTCAGCTGACTCCTCTTGATATGGAGGAGCAGCGGCTCTACTCCGAGTCTCTCCCGAATGTCCGAGCTCGTCACCCTATCCCTCAGGCTGAGCCCAGCCTCCCCATGTAGAGAACTCATTTTGGCTGCTCGTATCCACAATCTTGTTCTTTCGGTCATTACCCAGAGCTCGTGACCATAGGTGAGGACTGGGCGGTAGATCGAAAGCCTTGCTTACCGGCTCAGCTCCTTCTTCACCACAACAGACTGGTTTTGTGTCCGCATCTCTGCAGACATTGCCCCAATCCGCCTGTCAATCTCCCGCTCCCTCCTTCCCTCACTCATGAACAAGACCACGAGATACTTGAACTCCTCCACTTGAGGCAGGGCCTCTCTCCCGATCCAGAGTTGGCAAGCTGCCCTTTTCCAGTCGTTCACCTTTAATTTTGAAAAATGATGTGCGTTCTTTTCCTCCTTTGATGGTGCATGTTGGACTGCCCCGATGACCAATTGCCATTTGTTGCTTTGATTGGTCCTAGTACTGTCATAATGCATGAGGATTACAGCGTAACGATTCTAGAAAAAAATCTGAGATTTTCTTTCCCCAATATTGCAATTGCGATTTAATTCCCAATTATTTCTCAAGGGGCTTTTCTCATATTTTTCAACCAACTGAAGTAAAAAAAAAACCTATGTAACTTGTACTGAGTATAAACAAGTTTAAGTATCTACATATTTATCTACATATCATATCAACAAGTTTATCTGTCTACATAAACACAAGTAAAGACAAAATTTTGTATTTGACGGTGCGATGCTTTGCAGCCAGGAGAACATCCCGTGAAGGAGCACAGGTGTTGGCATCAACTGTGAAAATGTATTAACAAGATAGAAGTGTGTCCCGTTTACTTAAGTCTTTTGTATTTTTTGAGTTTTTGATGTCTTGACCATGCAGAGCTTCCGTAGTTCGGTTATATCTATAGCTGCTAGCCAAAACTCAGTGGAGTTAAAGTCCCTTACGGTTTTCTTCTAGCTTTACTAAAACATCTGTCTGTACTTATTTGATTAATGGCAGTTTTTACGTTCCTAATTCGTAATTTGTAAGAATGTAAACCACAATTGCCTATGTATGTCTGATCTCAGAATTGTGTGTACTGAAACTCTAATTTCCCTCTGGGATTAATAAAGTATCTTTGAATTGAATTGAACTGAAATAACATTAGCATCCCTATGGGTTTTTCCATGTAAATTATCATTGTGTTAACTACCCGCTGCCAGTCAAATGCCAGCCTTTGCGATTAGAAAATCTCCTTTTGTGACATCGCAATTTGATACGATAGACCGTTCAGCCCTAGTGTCACCAGATTTGTTTCCATCTAGTGTTGTGTTAAAGGGGCATTATGGAAGTTTGACAGTCAAAACATGTGTAGAAATAATAAATTTCTTCTTCATACATTCTCCTGCAATGCCCTGGTCCTGTAGAATGAGCCCTGGCATTTTTACTGTGATTGCCTGTTTTTCTGTAAAGCAAGCTGCTTCATGCGTGTTCACGCTCAGGCATAGCCCGTAGCATTTGCTATCAGTAGCTTTAGCAGCAGAGAGTGAGGTAGTGCCAACTCAGCGACTTTGTCGCTGTTCCTTTTTTTTTTTTTTTTTACCGTGTCCTGTCTGGCTGTGAAGCAAGCGGAATTGATGTCTGAATGCTGGTGACAAGCCTTACAGATTTACTCTCAGGTGGAGCATCAAAGCGTTTGCTTTTAATGTCACGCCTGATACTTAAAACTTTATTGTTATTGTTGTTGAATGCATTGTAATTCCGACCAGACACGGAGACAGAGGTGAAAGAGAAAGGAAAAGAAAAGGTGGGGGGGGGGGGAGCACAAAAATAAACAATGAACAAGAGTCTGCTTCTAGACCTGCAGAAAAAGACAAAAAAAAAGCAAAAGGACAAAAAAAAGGACACAACAACAATACAACAAGATCTAGCTATCACTGCGTCAACTTGATGAAAAAATATATAATCAACATTGCTTAACTGAAGAATCACAATAATAAATCACAGTGCATTAAGTGCCCACCATAGTCTTAAGACCTGTGTTTAACGTGCCCAAGCCCATACTTTTGAGAGCACCACGTGAGCACCTGTGTGTGTCCACGCGCTTGTTTATGTAAGGTTTCTCTATAGGAGCGTCCAACAGAGAGTGTGAGGGACCACAGATCCGCCCCCCCAAGATGCGTAGGAGACGGGGGGAGCTCCAAGTCCCAGAGATCCAGGCGCTGCCCCAGAACGCAGGAACCCAAGGAGACTGCAACCAGGAAGGCCCCCGCCCCCCTCGAGAGACACAGAGGATCGCCCCGGGGGGCCACAACCAGCAGCCGGCAGAGTCCCGGGAGATATCAGCGGCAAGCCCACAGGCCCGCCCGCAGCCTCCCACCCCCTAGCCGGCCGAGCCCGGGACCCAGCAATCCGGGACCCAGGGGCGACCACCCCTGCCGGGGACCCAGCAGAGCCCAGGGACCCAGACCCCACCAGGCAGCCACCGGGATCTATCAGGCAGATGCCAAAATCTTAAACCCCCAGACCCGGTTGCCACGAACACTCAGGCAGACCATGGCACAACCCCTCACACCAGGTGTGGCGGGGGAGGGGGGACAAAGATCTATATCATCAAGAGAAGTTCCAGGAGAGGGGAGGACTCAAAGGCCCCACCTGACATATACAGTCATACACAAACACAGTCGCACACTCCCTCCCTCATGCTCACACATACACATACAACCCAAGACTTACAAAAATGCACGCCGGACACCCACTCATGCTCCCCATACACACCCTATTCACTCTGGTCCCGGTACTGCTGCACATTGGGTACAACCATCACCGGCAACCAGAGTTTGACCCTTTCTGCTGGGGTGCTGATTAGCAGGCTCCCCCGCCCAACGCTGAGCACAGCAACCTACCACCCCAGACCCCAACCAGACGGCCAGATCCCCCTCCTAGCCTCCAGCCCCAGGAAGGTTGGTACCAGAGGGGATAGGCACAAAGCTGTTTTATTGTTGATTCCTTTTTTACAGCCATAACTTCAGAATGTAAAAACAGAAAGTAAAAGCAGCTTTACAAGTGGAATTCAGCCACGACAACCAACAGTTTTTGTCAGAATAATTCAAATTCTCTGTTGTGACATAACCAACAGTAGGATGTGCATAATAAATCCGCATGGACCCACTTGACGTCAGTTACTGATTTTAGGACTTTACCGTGTAAACTTGGTTCCACATTTTTATACAGAAAACAATCAACATCCCTGGATGTGAAGCTGAATGAATCAAGTTCTAATTCTGAGGAAATATCTAAGGATCATTTGTTTAAAGCAGGAAAGTTGGAGTTGATCTGTTCTTACCAGCTAATCCCAAGAGGACCACAGTCAGGATCCTCCCCAAGTCGCACAGAACTTTCCGTGCAGTGGCTTTCAGGTGTTCGGCTAGCTGCTTGGCTCTGGTTGCTGGGGAAACCTCATCAGGGTCATCATGTGATACACCCTGCTCCTCCTCTTCATCACCTGATGTCGCTTCATCCTCCCGATCTTCTGCTGTTTGACTTGAGTCATTATCTTCTAGCTGATGAGTGAAAAATGTTTTTTTAATCAGTAATTTTATTTACTTTTCAAATGTTGGTCTTTCAGGGCAACCATTTTATTTGATTTTTCATACAAATCCAACAGCATTGGACTCTGGAGGTAAAGCTGGTAGCACTGTTGCCTTGCCGCAAGAAGGTAGCATGTTCAAATGTGATTATCGTACATAATTACCACGCTTTCACCGCGCCTGTTCAAGGACAGCCCTTACTGTGTGTGTGTGTGTGTGTGTGTGTGTGGGGGGGGGTGGGGGGTGGGGGCTAAACGAATAAACAACATAATTACAAAATAACACATTTTAGGTCAAATTTAGACACAAACTGAGGAAGATATTTTCCTAACGTAGAGGGTTTATTTAGTTGTCTGAAAATATAACACGTTAAAAAAAAGTTACTGTGATAATTTTGGTGACAATAACTGCGAGGTTAAATTTTCACAGCCTGACAACCTTTCTGTGAGAGAGAGTGGCTGATGAGCGATAAACCAAAAACATTCGGAGCTGAAGCTCCGTTGAAATCGGTTCGTGACGCGGCTGCATCAGTGGCAGGTGAAGCGCACCGCACTTCCAGCCGCCTCACAGCCAGAGCGAGCATACAGGTCCTTCTAAAAAAATTTGCATATTGTGATGAAGTTCATTATTTTCTGTAATGTACTGATAAACATTAGACTTTCATATATATTAGATTTATTACACACAACTGAAGTAGTTCAAGCCTTTTATTGTTACTAATATTGATGATTTTGGCATACAGCTCATGAAAATCAAAAATTCCTATCTCAAAAAATTAGCACATCATGAAAAGGTTCTCTAAACGAACTATTAACCTAATCATCTGAATCAACTAATTAACTCTAACCACCTGCAAAAGATTCCTGAGGCTTTTAAAAACTCCCAGCCTGGTTCATTACTCAAAACTGCAATCAGGGGTAAGACTGCCGACCTGACTGCTGTCCAGAAGGCCATCACTGACACCCTCAAGCAAGAGGGTAAGACACAGAAAGAAATTTCTGAACGAATAGGCTGTTCCCAGAGTGATGTATCAAGGCACCTCAGTGGGAAGTCTGTGGGAAGGAAAAAGTGCGGCAGAAAACGCTGCGCAACGAGAACAGGTGACCGGACCCTGAGGAAGATTGTGGAGAAGGACCGATTCCAGATCTTTGGGGACCTGCAGAAGCAGTGGACTGAGTCTGGAGTAGAAACATCCAGAGCCACCGTGTACAGGCGTGTGCAAGAAATGGGCTACAGGTGCCGCATTCCCCAGGTCAAGCCACTTTTGAACCAGCAGCAGAAGCGCCTGACCTGGGTTACAGAGAAGCAGCACTGGACTGTTGCTCAGTGGTCCAAAGTACTTTTTTCAGATGAAAGCAAATTTTGCATGTCATTCGGAAATCAAGGTGCCAGAGTCTGGAGGAAGACTCGGCAGAGGGAAATGCCAAAATGCCTGAAGTCCAGTGTCAAGTACCCACAGTCAGCGATGGTCTGGGGTGCCATTTCAGCTGCTGGTGCTGGTCCACTGTGCTTTATCAAGGGCAGGGTCAATGCAGCTAGCTATCAGGAGATTTTGGAGCACTTCATGCTTCCATCTGCTGAAAAGATTTGTGGAGATGAAGATTTCATTTTTCAGCACAACGTGGCACCTGCTCACAGTGCCAAAACCACTGGTAAATGGTTTACTGACCATGGTATTACTGTGCTCAATTGGGCTGCCGACTCTCCTGACCTGAACCCCATAGAGAATCTGTGGGATATTGTGAAGAGAAAGTTGAGAGACTCAAGACCCAACACTCTGGATGAGCTTAAGTCTGTTATTGAAGCATCCTGGGCCTCCATAACACCTCAGCAGTGCCACAGGCTGATTGCCTCCATGCCACGCCGCATTGAAGCAGTCATTTCTGCAAAAGGATTCCCGACCAAGTAGTCAGTGCATAACTGAACATAAATATTTGAAGGTTGACTTTTTTTGTATTAAAAACACTTTTCTTTTATTGCTCGGATGAAATATGCAAATTTTTTTAGATAGGAATTTTGGGTTTTCATGAGCTGTATGCCAAAATCATCAATATTAGAAACAATAAAAGGCTTGAACTACTTCAGTTGTGTGGAATGAATCTAATATATATGAAAGTCTAATGTTTATCAGTACATTACAGACAATAATGAACTTTATCAAAATATGCTAATTTTTTTAGAAGGACCTGTACACACTGTGAGTGATGCACGGGTATGGAGCACTGGTGCTGATCCCACCTCTAATTGCCTAACAACAATGCAACTCTACCACTAACTCCACATGCGACATGGATGTAACACACAAATAACACAAGCCTGGAGGTGCTTCTGCCATGTGGTTGAGTTGCGAATGCTAATGTTTAGCTTCTGCTAGCTGAGACACTCTCTGCTGACTCTGGACGCTACAACAACAGCCTTCCCCATCTTGAGCCAGTATAGTTGAGACCAGGAGACCGCTTAACGTATCTGTCAGGCTTTTCAAATCCTAGCGTTTCACTGTATTTTCTGTCAGAAGCTAATGCAAGAGATCACTGGAGGACACTATTTTCATGTTCACCTGCATGGAAAAACTCAGTGGCTAACTCTTGAAGTGGCCTGGTATGAATGCAGCACAATTAACATGAATTATGCTAGTTTTTCCAATAAACATTTTTCTATCTCCTACTCACACTTTTCAAGATTTCAAGACCCTGGTTCTGGTCTATAGGGCCTTACATGGACAAGCACCATCTTACACTGGTGATCTTATTAGTCCCTACACCCCCAGCAGGTCCCTGAGGTCCAGTGATCAAAGCCTACTGGTTGTGCAGCACCAGGCTAAAGACCAAAGGTGACAGATCATTTGCTGCTGTGGCCCCCAGACTCTGGAACTCTCTCCCCCTGAGCCTGAGATTGGTGGACTCAGTGGTCTCCTTTAAAAAGCAGCTGAAGACTCACTTATTCAAAGTGGCTTTTGTTTGACCTTCTTCAACCACTCTCTCTTTATTCTGCTCTCCCCACCTATTCCACCTTCCTCAGGATCCACTGATTTCCCTCTTTCCTATTCACTCTCTCTCTTACTTAACATTTTTTAAATCACAATTGTCTATTTTTGCTCATTTTAAATATATTTTTAACCATTTTCTGAATTATTTTTTATATTTTTACGTTTTTTGTTTTTGTGAAGCGCCTCATGATTTTAATCTTGAGAGGCGCTATAGAAATGATATTTTCTTCTTCTTCTTCACACTCATTTTGCAATCCAAATATACAATCAGACAGACACTTACTGATGTGATATTGGCAGCAGCAATCATTTCCCTGCTTCTGACCAATTTGCTGCATAGGATAGTTGTTACCAGGGATACCAGAAACACACCTACATCCGGACATAGAAGACGAAGAACGTTCCAAGGATCATCCAGAGGAAGCCTAACACACATGTGCATGAAGTTAGTAGCAGTAGTTAGTAGCAGATTAAACATGACTTAAACACAAGATACATACCTGGACAGTCCTATATGCCTGGTTATGGTGTCCCATTGTGAACAGTTATCACCTATAGCAAGGTTGAGGGGTGGATAGGTGTACAGTACAATCTGGAAACAAATATGTGCAAGTAGGAACAGGAGACTGGTGCAGACCACCGCTTTGATAAAACGACCTGTGTGACCTGAAAGATCAAAACGACAAGAAAACTTTTAGAGAATATTATACATTCTAAAATACTAGGAATGCATGATATTGGCTTTTATACCGATATCCGATAATGTCAAACTACTCCGATAATGTTAAAGCTACAAAGGGGCGACGGTGGCACAGGAGTTAAGTGCTCGCCCCCCGTAATTGGATGGTTGCAGGTTCGAGCCCCACTCAGTCTGTCGCTGTCGTTGTGTCCTTGGGCAAGACACTTAACCCACATTGCCTGCTGGTGGTGGTCGGAGGGACCGGTGGCGCCAGTGCTCGACAGCCTCGCCTCTGTCAGTGCGCCCCAGGGCAGCTGTGACTACATTGTAGCTCATCACCATCAGTGTGTGAATGTGTGTGTGAATGGGTGAATGACTGATTGTGTTGTAAAGCACCTTGAGGGGTTCCAGGACTCTAGAAGGCGCTATATCAATTACAGGCCATTTACCATTTACCAAAAATTTACTAAATTTACCAAGGCAAACTGGAAAAACAAATAAGCCTAAAACATTTTTTCATGTCTCTTAACAATGTCCTAACATAGAATAGCTATAAATATCATGTGGATAACAAAAGAAAAAAAACATTTGCTAAAGTGGTTCTCTCGCGTTTGTCTAAAAACCTCTGCCAATGTCATGCTTCGGACTGAAAGCAACCATTGGGCCATCTTGCTGTCTGTCTTGCTGAACCCCTGGACTTTCCCATTTCCCTGGGTCCTCCTTTCAATACGCATTCTGAGGCCCTGTCCACACGTAGCCGGGGATCTGCCAAAACGTAGATATTTTTCTACGTTTTGGCCTGTCATCCACACGAAAACGGAGTTTTTTCACAAGAAAACGGATCTTTTTAAAAACTCCGGCCAAAGTGAAGATCTGCGTTTTCTCCGTTTTGGGTGTCTGCGTGTGGACAGACAAAACCGGAGTTTTAAGGTCCGCAACGTCACTTTCCGCGACAAAAAAAATGCTGACATCACGTGTGCGACCTGTGTTTACACTAGCCGACAGCATGGATGCCCTCAGAGCTGCGCTCGCTTTATCAATTGTCCAAGCGCTTTTTGCTTGTTTGTTTTTGCGAGCGGAATTACTGCTGCTTGCGGAAGACCACAGACGAAGGACGAGGTTAAGAACGGGGGAAGTACTGCCGCCTACAGGTCTGGCATGTCCTTAACAACGTATTTATCCAGGTACGTGTGGACAGAGGTTTTTTTTTATAAACGAGGTGGTGTGGATGCAAGTTTTTGGAGGGGCCGATATTCGTTTTTTTTTTTTTTTTTTTTTTAACGGCTACGTGTGGACTAGGCCTGATTCACGTATTTAGCAACAGAACACCACTGGCATGAGAGGTTTGTGGCTCTGTAATATTGTTACAACCCGGCTTGTGGGATTGCAACATAAGGAGGAGGTTTGGACAAATTGAGGAAGACAAGAGTATTCTGCACTTTAAAATCAGCGTCCAAAAGGCCTCACCAACTGCCACACAGGCAGGAGCTATCAAGGAGATTTCTCTGATCAGTCTCCTCTCTTTGGAGTTGCACCAAACAACCTTTTATGCTGCACCCACAGGTGCAGCCACTCATGATCAATTACAGGCTACACAAAGCCAGGCCAATGGTGACAAATGGGCGTGGGCATGGACATCCGAAGCAGCCAATCAGCTGGTCGAACTGGCACAGCAAAATTTGTTTGTCAGATGAGTGCATGGTTTCTCTCATTGCAGGAGCTGTAATGTCCTCCCCCCTCTAAAGAGTTCCTCCAAGAAACTCACAAGGACTGCTGAAATTCTTCAGCTCCTGTCCTCTTATAAAAGGGAGAGAAGGAGAGAGAAACCTAGACTTAACAGAAATAAAGCCGCAAAAACTAGACTACCGAACCCACCACAAAATAAATTAAAGACACAAACTACCACGATCAACACAACAGCAACGTGTACCCTAGAAAAATACAACAGCCACAGACAAAAGAACCATCACACCGAAGTTGCTACAGTAAAAAGACCGAGTAACAACTGATGATTCAACACAAAGTGAACTGCTGTCAAGACAAAGGGCTACACCAAGTGGAACCACACCGAACGGTTACTCATCCACAACAAGTTACTGAAGTAACAAAGTTCTTGCAGCATACACAGCCAGTCCCCACAACAACCTGATCACATCTAGTGGGAGTTTTATTCCACATCAAGTAACTGCTTTCACCCAGCCAGCAACATACACAAACACACAAAAACCAAACTGCTAACATTCTACAAACATGAACTGTCCAGCAGCAACTAGAGCTCAAAGCTAATTAATGAAAAGCTAAGTGAGATCACCACAAGCCACATCAACAAACCTCTAAATTGACAAAGGCCAGGCTGTAAAAACACAATACTCAATCAAAACACCAGATCCAACCTCCTCCAAAGAGTCCTGATGATCCGGGATGAGCCGCCACTTGCTATGACCCGGATCACAATAAAAGGAGGAGGTTTGGTCACATTGAGGGAGATAAGAGTATTTCGCACTTTAAAATCAGCCTCCAAAAGTCTTCACCATCTGCCACACATGCAGATAGGGATGGGAACCGAATTCTGTACTTTTTAAGGCACTGATTCACATCATATGAAACGGTGCCTCTTTTCGGTACCCATGCCGTGCACCAACGCAAGAGCATGATATCGTCAGTCACTGTGGGTGAGCTTTAAACAATGCAGCATGGCAGAGAGGAAGCATTCTGAAGTTTGGGTCCACTTCACTAAATAGGATGGGTAACTGGGTGATGATGGGTTTCACGATCTAAGTTACACATCATCGTCTTAATCTGCTCCAGTAAGTAAATACCCCCTCAGGCCAAAAGCGTAATGGCGCACATGCTATATGTGCACACTCCTTAACGAAAATAACAGCTGAGACAGTCTCTCTCTCTCTCTCTCTCTCTCTCTCTCTCTCTCTCTCTCTCTCTCTCTCGTCTCTCTCTCTCTCTCTCTCTCTCTCTCTCTCTCTCTCTCTCTCTCTCTCTCTCTCTCTCTCTCTCTCTCTCTCTCTCTCTCTCTCTCTCTCTCTCTCTCTCTCTCTCTCTCTCTCTCTCTCTCTCTCTCTCTCTCTCTCTCTCTCTCTCTCTCTCTCTCTCTCTCTCTCTCTCTCTCTCTCTCTCTCTCTCTCTCTCTCTCTCTCTCTCTCTCTCTCTCTCTCTCATTGCTGACTTTAACAAGTCTCATAAATATGATCCTCATGAAGTTTCTACTTTACACCAGAAGATAGTGGAGATGTGTAACCTTCAGGCTGAGCAAAGTTTGTGAGTTTTTATAGCTTGAAAAACGCCTCCCGCCGAGAGGCTCCAGAAGGGGAGAGGAGGAGATGGGTACAGCATGAAGAGCGTAAATATTAGATAAAACGTATAACTGCTGGCAGGTCTGGTCTTTGTTGACTGATCACTTTGTCTGGTGATGACTGACTCTGATTATGAAGCAGAATATTGACTCTGATGAAGAAATTCACTCATCCAGCCGGGACGATTGACGCTGCTGCAGCATCAGACAGCTGGTGCTGCACGAGAGTGTGTGGAGTTTACAAGCTCCAAACGTTGGGTTTGATATTTGTTTAACCTTCTCTGGGACGTGGTGGATGTAGAAATGATGGTAAAACATGGCTAACGTGACAGACGTAGCGAGAATGTAAAAAAAAAAAAAAAAGCCGTAAAAAAGAGGCAGATACCGATGCGTTATATATGGAAGTCAAGTGTGCCACATAATCATTAAAAAAGTAAAATATAAAATTTAAAAAACGTTTTATATATTTATATATATATATACATTAAAACTTTCCAAATATAATGAAAATTTATAAATAATGTAAAAATATGAAGGAACATCTGTTGGTCAGGCTGAAAAGTTTGGGAACCACTGCTCTAAGTGATAAGTGAATTTCGTTTTTTAAATATATTTTATGTGCAGTTTTTTAGGGTTTTTATGTTTTCTGTAAATATTGGTATGCTGAAAATCATTTAATGTTTTGCATAAAGCATGAGGTTTTGGTTAGTAATTGATTGGGAGAATAACAAATGACTGAATTAAATAGTGGGGCGCCTTTGTCAGTGCGCCCCAGGGCAGCTGTGGCTACATCGTAGCTCATCCCAATCAGTGTGTGAATGGAGGAATGATACACTGTAGTGTAAAGCGCTTTGGAGTCCTTACTCGGAGAGGCGCTATACAAGTGCGGATCATTTATCATTTAAAATGTTGATCAGGCAGAGCTTTGTTGCCAGCGTTCCACTGCATAATGGCTTCAAACACGTATATAAAAGTGTTAGTTTTTACGTAAACCATTGGATGAAATTACACAAACTGACTGAGCTCTAGTTAAGGGGCTTGCAATAGTTTGTGTGTGCGTGTGTGCGTGCGTGTGTTTAGGGGAGGGTACATTGGAACTTTGTCCCCCCCAGTTTGAAAATCCTATCTGCGCCCCTGTCCTGAAGGGTAGGTAGACCGACATAATGGTGTCTAGTGTGTTTATGGACCTGCTAACCAAAGCTTAATCCGAAAACAACACCGTCAGTTCCCGTCAGAACTAATCACTTCTTCGGATTTGCGGGTTTTGATTACATCACACGTCATCCATTCACAGTCTCATCCATTTTAGTTACACCATAAATTTAGTTTTAAAGTCAGTCTAGTTTAATTTGTTAGTAATAAAATTCTTAACTTTTGAACTTGACTCTCTTCTGTTGTCTCTGAGTGAATACGAAGCAGTTATCTAATCCCTGCAATAAAAAGGTCCAATCTTCTGGTTTAAATAACTCACAGATCCGTAAGGTGGATTTCATATTTCCTATGGAATCCCATGCCTTATGGCTCATTAAATAACACGTAATCTCTAATTCATTACAAAAGTCATAAAATTATTGATGCGAGTCCACACCTCTGAAAAAAGTCAACATATAGACATTATTCTAGACTTGACGTTCAGAGGCAGATGGTCTTACCTTTAATGGTGTATTTGTTGGGACACAGGAACCACGGTAGCAACAGCAGATAGAGAAAATAAACCAGTGACAGCAGGTTCAATCGAAAAAGACAAGCTGAAAAAGGGAAAGAACCACAGTAAAACAACAGTCTCTTGATGACAGAATCAAACATGCTTCCCTAGTGAAAAAGTGGTTAGCCTCTAGATGCACTGAGGACACTTTCAGACATCTTTTGGCGCATTGGCACACAAGTACCACAGTTTAAAATCAACACAAACCAATCAATTAGAGATGAGAACGACATACATCAACAACAGAGCAACACATAAAATACCAAAAGAGAGCAGGTGAAAACTGTAAAAGCAGATAGGACACTAAATGAAAAAAAATACAAAAAGAAGGATCAAGTAGAGCATGCATGCCTGAATAAGAGAGTTGTAAAATGCGATTTGAATGTTTGGATGAATGGAGCTGTACGGGCGAGGGCACCGATTATGATCTCAGCTGAGGCAAAGCACGTCAGAAAAGTACAGAAAGTACAGAGAATATGGGCTGATATGAACGATCGCAAGTGAATTATTTTGTTTTGGTGGAGCGATTTTGTGAATATAACAGCGACCGCGCGCAGGACGCAGCTGGAGTATTTGAGCCGTTACCACTGCGTCCTCTCTGCTTAGAATGCCTGCAAAGCGGAGTGCATAAATGACGTCATATATGTAGATACCGGATCTTTATTTTGAGCTTTCCGCAATTTTAATTTTTAAGAAACCTGCATCTTGATTCTGGGTTTAAAAATGCATTGTAATTACCGCGTTACGCGTTACTGACAATTGTACCGAGTAAATATTACCATTTTCTTTTCCTGTAATGCCTTACATTACCACATTACAGCAAAAAGCAATGCATTACAGTAATTAATTACTTTTGTACCGCGTTACTCCCAACACTGTCCATGTGAAACTGAACCATATCCAATCTTCATTTGGTGTGAAGGAGGCTTCAGGCCCTCTCTCAATAGCAGCTGCAGCCCTACTCTGGTTTTACTTCATGTATTGCTTGTTAACACTAGAACTCACAGGAACCATCACTTTGACGGCTGTCAAATTGGCCATTAAATGCAGGCTGACAATGACGTTGTGGAGCAAAACGGTTCAAGTGTGTTATTAATTAACTCTTTATGAATGTGTGAACCTATTAAAATAGTAAGAAAACATAATTTTAATCCAAACCTTGAAAAGAAGTATCTCTACTGTTCACAGTGTGACCGACACAGATCTTTTCCGTGGGTGGGGGCGAGGGGTCCCAGATTGTCTTCCGCACTACTATCAGAGTCTCTGCCGCTTCCAACTGACCAGTTTTCATCAGCTTTCCCCTCCCCGCCTGAAGCAAACTCATTTCTCATGCTTGTTTCACTGAGAATGTTCTTCTAAAAGTTGTTTCAGCCTCCATTTCACACGCAGTATGAATGAAGTGGGAGCGCACAAGATGGAAAGTTTGTTGTTTAGCAATGGCAACGCTGTCCGTTATCCGCAGGAAAACTTTACCATGTAAACAATAGAGCCATCAAATTGACGGCTTGTGGGAGACAGACAAAAATAGCTAATTTATTTTTTGATACATTATTTTATGGAAATTATAACGCAAAAATAAAGGACATATAAAAATAGGAAAAGCCAGGAAGCCAGGACAACATGAGATCCATCTAACTAAAGTTATTACATATCAAAATATGGAAACAGTCAAAATGACTGCCTTGGGAGTTCTAGTGTTAACCCTGGTCCTCAGCGCCCTGCTGTCCTACATGTTTTAGGTGCTTCCCTGCTGCGACATATCATGTCGTGGGTCAAAAAACTTCCCTCCAACATGACAAAAAGAAATGTGAAACAACCTTTGAGAAGGGGTGTGAGTGTGTGTGTGTGTGTGTGTGTGTGTGTGTGTGTGTGTGTGTGTGTGTGTGTGTGTGTGTGTGTGTGTGTGTGTGTGTGTGTGTGTGTCTGTGTCTTTGGACACAAATAAAATAAATATTATAGTTTAATGCATTTAATGATAAAATAAAGAGTTTGCTAACATTGGTTAAAACATATTATAGTTTTTCCTCTGTGGTGAATCTTAGCCTGCTTTATTTGATATAACAGAATTATTCATTTGGTAAATAAACTAACTTTTATAAATTTTATCTTTAAGGTAAAGCAGACCCTCAGAGCTGTCAACTGCTCCCTGGCCCGGACTGCTGTGGACCAGCCGTGCAACAGAGGCGTACCTAGGTGTGTCCTGCCCTTTCCTGAAGGAAGACTGGAACATGGTGGAGTGAAAATGAGGGTCGTTCCCCCACACAGAAAAGCTTTAGCCACACTAAGATGGCTAAAGCTTTTCTGTGCATCCCTGCCACTTCCACACCATCAGAACGGATCTTCTCTGCAGCTGGGAACATCTGCTCTCAAAAGAGAGCAAGCCTTTCTTCAGAACATGTCAACTTTCCTGACTGTGAACAAGAGCCAAAAGACTATTTTAGCTGGATACATTTGTGAGTCATTATTTTTGGTTTTAGGAGCCTACCACCATGATAAATGATAAATGGCCCGCACTTGTATAGCGCCTCTCAGAGTAAGGACTCCAAAGCGCTTTACATGTTCCGTCTCTCCTGTCATTACATGTATTCTCACACTTCTGCTAAATCAGGGAACCTCTGGGTCAATGTTCTGCTCTAATCTGCATTTGGCTTTGTGGCATTCACTATCTGGGGGAGTTCGTGTGTGTTTTAGTGAGCCTTTTTAGCGTGGCTCCCGACCGGAGCGTTGTTTATGCCGAACCCCTTCCCCGCAGAGTCAGGAAACCGCTACGTAGAGCAGTGAGGCATAAATAGCTGGAGTGTAATACTGAATAGAGGACGCGTGAGATGAGGATGCATCATGAGTTTAGCTTAACATGATAGATTTTTTTTCCCTGGAAAATAAATAATAACTATTAATAGTGTGGATGATGGGATATGAGCCTCATGTAGTTAGAATTTAAATTATTTTATATAAATCAGAAATATATAATAAATAAATGTATCTCTAGCTCTCAACTGTGATTAGAGAGATAGAGACAGAGGGATATATAGAGGGAGATAGATATTGGACTTTTAAGATTCTTTTAAAGATTCAGAAACTTTGATCATATTTTCTGTTAAGATGCACACTTTTAATATAAAAAATATTTTAAAATATTTTCCAAACACACCCACATCACCCCGCTTCTCCTCCTGCTTCACTGGCTGCCAGTCAACTTCAGGGTTCATTTCAAGATCCTGGTTCTGGTCTATAGGTCCTTACATGGACAAGCACCATCTTACATTGGTGATCTTCTTAGTCCCTACACCCCCAGCAGGTCCCTGAGGTCCAGTGACCAAAGCCTACTGGTTGTGCAGCACCAGGCTAAAGACCAAAGGTGACAGATCATCTGCTGCTGTGGCCCCCAGACTCTGGACCTCTCTCCCCCTGAGCCTGAGATTAGTGGACTCAGTGGTCTCCTTCAAAAAGCAGCTGAAGACACACTTGTTCAAGCTGGCTTTTGTATGACCTTCTTCACCTCTCTCTCTTTATTCTGCTCTCCCCACCTATTCCACCTTCCTCAGTATCCCCAATTTCCCTCTTTTGTATTAACTCTCTCTCTTTCTTAACATTTTTTAAGTCACAGTTGTCTATTTTTGCTCATTTTAAATATATTTTTAAACATTTTCTAAATGCTTTTTTATATTTTTACATATTTTGTTTTTGTGAAGCGCCTCGTGATTTTTATCTTGAGAGGCGCTATAGAAATGATATTTTCTTCTTCTTCTTAAATTTATGTATTTTACAGAAAAATAACTTCCGAAATGTTAGAATTTTAGAAATACAAATTATTGTGATAAAATCGTGATTTAGCAAAACAAAATTGTGATGCCATTTTTTTCCCCCATTTCGCCCACCGAGAAAAGACTCTGGAGAGCTTTCCAGAGTCTGGGGGCCACAGCAGCAGATGTATGGCGCGGTATGGGGGCCAAAATTAAGACTACTGCCCAGCAGCAGGAGGCTATATAAGTTCCGAAGCAAACTACTGATCTGATTAATGATAAGCTGGCGCCGGTAACTGAGAGGCTGGCGCTGCTTACTGAGAAGTAGCACCTTTACCGGCGTCACTACTAGATATGCTAGGGACTAGCAGCCCTCGGCTGGTAATTGACTGGATCTCACACTCCCTCTGCTGTCTATTAGCATGGATAGGCTAGCGTTAGCCTGGACGGGCTGGTGTTAGCATTGGAGAGGCTAGCCATTAGCGTGCCTAGGCTGGCCACTAGCTGGATTTCCTACCTCCTCGACGGACCATTAGCATGGATAGGCTGGCGTTAGCATCGGAGAGGCTAGCCATAAGCGTGCCTAGGCTGGCCACTAGCTGGATTTCCTAACTCCTCGACGGACCATTAGCATGGATAGGCTGGCGTTAGCATCGGAGAGGCTAGCCATAAGCGTGCCTAGGCTGGCCACTAGCTGGATTTCCTACCTCCTCGACGGACCATTAGCATGGATAGGCTGGCGTTAGCATCGGAGAGGCTAGCCATTAGCATGTCTCGGAGAGTCACTTTATTAGATGCGGGTTTTTTTTTTTGTTTTAACTTTTATTAAACGTATGACATACGGTGAGACCAGCAATCACAGTTGCTTCTTTGACAGAACACACTGTTCTACAGATTAACTTTAAGCATATTGTAAAGCTGACAGCCTGTTAGCATTGATCAGGTGCTGCGTAAACTCCATTCTATTAATTACATGTTGATGGCGTTTTCTTTTTAAATAGTTTGTTTTTTTTGCACATATCAGAGAAAAAGCCAGAGCTAACTAATATGTACTTTTCATCTCTGAATTTTAAATCCTTTGTATTGAATTACAGGTTAGTAATTATTAAAATTGTGATGTTATCTTTATTAAAACTATATATGTAAAATGTGTCTGATAATCATTTCCCTTAGGGGAACAATAGTTTTGTTGCACTAAACTTACTGTTGTCTCTGCTGAAGGTTATGGGATGTGAAGTTTTCTCCTCAGATGATCTTGTCAAAAGAAAAATAGAGTATGGCTGAATTTATACTTTATACCACACACAGTAAGTCAAACTTTACTACAACAAACAGCTGGAGTTTGACCTGAATTTTAAAAGTGGAAAAAGAACTTTATTTAATTAGTCAGCAACCTGTATCCTATTTAAGTCACCACCTGCTTATGTATTAAAATTTAAAGCTCAATAAAACTGTAGCACTTCTTCAATAAGAGTTTTTGTAGATTAACCCTCCCACTGTTCTAATGGGTGTGACCCCACAAGGAAAGCTGACCATTGAGCAGGGTTGATGGTTTATCCCTTGGGTCCACGTGGCAGGGGTGAGGAGTGAACACCACCTCACCCCTGCCACGTGGACCTCAAGGGATAAACCATCAACCCTGCTCAATGGTCAACTTTCCTCGCGGGGTCACCCATAGACAGTGGGAGGGTTAAAGAAATTCATCAACATCACAACAAAGTCACATATTTTACTGATAAAAATTAGTGTTTAACAGTGTTGTAGACATGTGTAGTCATTTTTGCATTTTGGTGCAGTTTGTTTAATAAGCTGGTTGTTCGTTCAAAAAAGGTATAGGAACGACATTCATATAGTGCTACAAGTATTCATGTCTCAATAACACCCCCCCCCCCCCCCAAAATAAACAATACTAACACAAATAAAGAAGGAACACACGTGTCATCAGCCCATCTGTGTCTTAGCCATCAATACATGTTAATTTTATGTTGACACATTATCATAAGTCCTGCTCATGACAGACATTTTTTTTTCAAGTGAAGCACATAATCAGGCATTTACAGTTTGATTATACACTTTTAGAGCAAGTTACTTTGATGCTAAAAACAGCAACTACTTTGAACACCAAGAAGAGAATTAAAGTTCAGCCAGTCGCAGTGCTTCCATGTACAAGTCTGCTCCAAAACATGAGCTGGCTGTTAACGGGTCTATTCTGTCCAACAATCTGTTGACATTTTGTATTAGTGAGTCTGGATGCTCTGGCACGACAATGTCAGCAGTGGAATCAGAGGCTGGTAAAGATCCCTCAAAGTCATTGCCCCATTCACTGAGGCTGACCTGTGTGGACAAACAAATATTCAAAACAATATTAATGACAAAAAAATTTGCACATTTAACATGTAAAAGCAGAGCAGTACTCAAAAATACAAATATATTTATCATACTGGTTGAGTTGGTTCCACTTCACTTGTCAATTGCCCGGAGATCCACAGCTGGTCAGGGGAGCGGTTTCCAGCAGAGGAAATGCGGTGTCTGTCCCAAGTTCTTCTGAAGACATTTAGGTGGGCGTTGATTCTTGGAATCATTACGTAGTGCAGGCACAGCAGGTGGATCTCATTGTCAGAATCAAGAGCACCTGTAGTTTCCATGTACTGGAACACTGCATGGTAGTTGCAAACCACTGACTGCCACAAATCACGCCAAAGCCTCTCAATGCGTTGATTATGAACACTTCGGCCCGTGATGAAACATCTGCTCTCTAAAAAGAAAAAGCATGTTATCACAAAGACCTATACATCTTCCTCTATAGGAGAATTTGGTCTAAATATGTACATAAATATATTAAGAGAGAATATAATTTAGCCACACTGCAACATTGACCATGGAGACACTTTTTACCCTGAAGCCAGTAAAGGTGTAAGTTGAGAATGAACCATGCCACTCAAAAAAAAAGTGACGTGATTTTTGCACACAGGGTTATGTGCAGATGGGGGAGAGACAGATGAGCAGTGTGGTGGACAAATTATGATCCAGTCTTTAAAAAAAGGATGTTCACGATGAGGTTTTTCCAGTACTGTACTTTACAAAGGCAATTTTATTTATTAATTTTATTGAGAAAAACATTTAAATTATTGGTTGCCATCAGTATGTGAACATTACTGCATGCAATATGAAATCCAGTGGGGTTTCCCCACACAGATGACCAGCTCAGTGGCATAGTGGTAGAATGTCTGCCCTGAGACAGGGAGATTAGGGTTCAAATCCTGGTCAGGTCATACCAATAACTTTGAAAATGGGACCCAATGCCTCCCTGCTTGACACTCTGCTTTAAGGTGTTGGATTAGGGGGTCAAACCACCAAATAGTTCCCGATCACGACCGTGTCTGCAACTCACCACTCCCCATGGGGATGGTTCAAATGTACAGGTCAATTTTCATCACACACCAGTGTGTGTGTTAACTATGAGACTTTAACTTTAACAATGACATAAAACGCTCCACAAAAACAGAACATACCTATGGAAACACAAAGCTGCCACCTACACATAAGAAAATGAGCAGTATCACATGATAAAATTGTATTAAATAATAATGAAGTTATCTAGACAAGGGCAGTAAACTGAAAATTTATCATTACCAAAATGTACAACTTTTACCAATGTCATTTTGCCATTTAAAAAAATGAAAAGATCAGAGTAGGCTGCTGATGTCCATGTCTTTATAACTCATTCACTGCCATTGATGACAAAAGTCGTCATTTTAAATCCAACCGTTCACTATTGTCATGTATTTACTGTGTGGGCAGGGTCCGAAATTAAATTTTTTACTCACCGGCCAAGTTGGCTGGTAGATGATGAAAATCTACCGGCCAAGCATATTTTTTTACCAGCCAAAATTCTAAATGATTTAGATCTACCTAAAGCATGTTATTCTATATTATGTTGATTCCAAACAGAGTGACAAAATAATTAAAACATCAATTAATAAGAAAAACAACTCTTTTGTCATTTTTACTATTTATTTATTTATTTATTTATTTTTAGAGATGTTTTTATGAACTCTTTCAATGAAATCTAGTCAGACTCCTTGTTTTCTCTGTCCATGAAGTCTGGCCTCCTGCTTCTGACACCGTCTTTGTGCCAAAGCATTACAGCCTCATTTGGGTCCTAGTCCTTGATCTCTGGAGAACACAGCTGCACCATGAGTATATCTGAAAGTGTGTCAGGGCTAGGGTTGTCACGGTAACCGGTGTAGTAGTAAACCCCGGTAAAAAAGTTGACAATAATAACCATCTTGTTTTTAAAAAATATATTATCTCGGTGGGTTACCGTGGCTGCGGTGTAGGCGCGGTGACCCTTACCAGCCACCGTATCATCTGCTGAAGTTGCCGGCGGCACATGCGTACTTTGTTGTTTACGACCAAAACTTTCTTGAAGCTAAAGCTGAAATAATGGCCAAAGGAGGAGACGGCAGCACTCGGGACATTTATTATCCCTCAAAGAAGACAAAGTCGGAAGTATGGGCATTTTTTGGATGTTTGAAGAATGCCGAGGGACAGTTGTCTGTGAAAGGCAGCAACGCTACGTGGCCATCATAATGTAGCCATTGTCTCACGACTCTGCCGTCTCCAGTTCGCCACTTTTCACAAAATCTTCTGGTTGCCACTGGTCCTGGTGGTTTTCCTTCCAGTTTGACAAGTTTTCTTTTGGAAGGCTGGCTGACTCCAGTTAAAAACCGCCACATTTCACCGCTAGTTTTAACACGAAGCTAACTGCTAACTTGATAAACTGATTGAATGGGATAGGTGGAAATGACGTTGGATGCGGCGTTCACGTTTCGCGTACGTTGCATGCAGGCGGGAGGAGTATCAGAAATCCATGGAAGATGACTGATAAACATAACTAATTTGGTGCAAATATTTACTCGCCAGGTGGCAGGTAGAGCTCAAAAATTTACTCGCCAAATGGAGCAATTTGCTCGCATTTGGCGAGTGTTAATTTCGGACCCTGTGTGTGGGCGTCACGAGCCCCCGCTCCATGTGAACTAACATCTCAGCTCTAAAGCCGATCTTCATCTGCATACGTCACACGTCACGTGATCAGGAAGCAGAAAATCCATGTGTTAGGAGATCGTTTTGGCCGCTGCTGTAAAATAGCAAGGCGTGAACCAGAAAAGCTTCTTCCGATCACAATTCAACAGCGAATTATGAAAGAACGGATAACGCTCGAAACGCGCTGATTCTTCCTGATGTAAGAGGTGAGTCTCCGCTTTGTTTTGGTAGTTTTTGCATTGACAGAGCGCAAAATTCTGTGACTCTTAACCTTCCCACTGTCTTTATGGGTGATCGCGCAAGGAAAGTTGACCATTGAGCAGGATTGAAGGTTTATCCCTTGAGGTCCACGTGGCAGGGGTGAGGTGGTGCTCACTCCTCATCCCTGCCACGTGGACCTCAAGGGATAAACCAACAACCCTGCTCAATGGTCAACTTTCCTCACGGGATCACACCCATTAGGACAGTGGGAGGGTTAAAAAAACTGTGAAAACGCTAAAAAATGCTGTCAGCGATGGGCTTTTCTGATTAGAAAATGGCTGGCAGTTAATGAGTTAATGTTTGGTGGGGAATGGTGAGTAATATAGATACCTGGTCCACGGAGTGGATGTTCAAGCATACATCTGGCCACAGTCACATTTTCGCCACCCTTGTCACTGCGGACACAGAGTGGCAAACCAAACTGCTGCACAGCTCCCAAAAAAGCCTGGTGAACCGTTGAAGCCTTGTTGTTGTTGGAAGCCTGAAGGTACATTATCTTTCTGCTGAAGCCGTCAATGCACCCATGAATGACAATTCTCCACCTTGAATATATTAGAGAGGCTTGAAGGAGTACACAATTGGTTTCATGTGAATCAATTTTGATGTTACTCACCGAATAAGTTTGTGGTACCCATCCAAGTGCCACAATGACAGTGGGGCAGGAACAGAGTATGATCGCCGTTGAATAGGGTTCAAGCACAGACCACGAAGGAGATTACCAAAAGGGTCGACAGTTTGCATCGTCTCTCTCAGCCTAGACTCAGAGACTCTATTAAAAAAAGGGACACACACACACACACACACACACACACAAGTTAATTTAATTAGCTAATCATCATAAAATATTGCATTGACTGAAACTATCTACTCTTATTTTAAAGGAGACATAACATGCTTTTAAGTAATTCCTTTTTACATCTAAATCCTTCAGTTGGGGTCTAAATACAGTCGAACTGTATTTGGTCTGATTTCCTCATTATTGTTGCTCTACAGACCCTCATCTACCTCTGTTCTGAGGAGTCTTGAGAATGAGCCGTTTTTGGGTAGTCTCTTTTAATCTGGAGAAGGAGCTGTAAACTACGCCCCCCTCCACAGTGCAGAACTTACTCTCCTCCCCCAGTCGGACTTTGTATTTCTATAGAGAAATCATTATTTAGCGTAGCGGAAATGTAGTATTAGCATTTTTCAAACGTGGGGAGATTTGTTCACCAAGCTGTTTCAGGTCTGCTAACTCTCATGCATTTGTCTGTAGTAGTCACACACACACACCTGTCATGGCCGACGGAGGGACAAGCGAGCGGGCACGTGCACAAACACACACACACAAAGAATGCTGCTTGCTTAATTCATTTCAAATCTAGAAACTTTTAAATCAAAATAAAAAACCCTCATGTTTTCATCAGTCTTTGAATAAATGTTCTTATGCTGCACCTTCTGCACTGTTTTTGCTCACCCTTTAACCTTACCTTAGTTTCTTTGTCGTTTTTAAATTGTATTTTCTGTCATGTAGATTTTAATGCCAATGGAAAGCACATTGAATAGTCTGTGTATGAAATGTGCTATACAAATAAAGCTCCCTTGCTTACACCTTCAAAGCCTCACTGCATACTTTATCCAAGTGCACTTCACAGAAGACTCTATGGGTGGAGTGCGAGTATTAGGATTAGGACAAAATGTTTCAAATCAGCAAATGAATCCAAAGCATGGATACCAAGCCTTTATACAGTCTCAGTCTAAGTTTTGTACTATTTTCTAATTTTTCCAGTTTCACCTGTATGTTTCTACGACACAAGTTTTAAGAGTTAACATCAATGCAATATTCAGTATGTGTACAATAGTTGTGCAATACCAGACGTACATTTAGTGCTGCATAGTTCTGGAAACCTAAGTTTTCTTTTTATATGTTGTTTATAGTGGATGAAGGTTGCAATAATAGCTTACTGCCTTTGTGTGTTTACCTGTAACCTTATATTTTTCTTCCTTTGTTTCTCTTAAGTGTATGTATGTGCATCTGTTGCAATTGAATTCACACCCTAAGGGATTAATTATCTATTCTATTATAACAAGCAACATAATGGAATTTATAATGATCACTTTGCTCAGTTGTCACATGATTCTTACCTGATACCCATGGTCCTCAGGTAACCGTTCACCATTCTGTAACCTGAATTCGGATTTGTATCCAGATGTGCAGAGACAATGGCTTGTAACTCTGCACTTGTAATGTCACTGAAAGTTTGTTGCACTGACAGACCATGCTCTTTCAGTCTTCTCTTTATTGTCCTTACGCTGACACATAACAGGCGTGCAATGTCTTGAATTGTAAAGTCGAAGTTAAGCAAATATTCCAATTGCTCCGCTGTTATGATGAATGCTGGGCGTCCTCTGTTGCCCATCCTTACTGTAGGGACTCGGAAACCTGTAATTGATGTTGGGGATCCACTTTCCAAAAGGTGACATGCTTCTTCCAGCTTCTGTAAGGCCTGGTCAGCATTCACAAACAGGTCTGAGTATCTTCCTAAAAGCCTTATGATGCAGTCCAGCTGGTAGCAAGCATAGTCTGCATTTTCAGTGGAATGTTGCTGAGAAAGGCTTTGGCTGACTGAATTGAGCAGCGCTGTTACTCGTGATGCAGCCATTGAAATGTCATACTGACTGTAAACACAGAAAGTTATGTTATTAACTGTTAAACAGTAAAGATCAGAAACAGCCTACACTTGAACAATACCACATAATTTAGGAAAATATCCTATTTTGATTTTTATGGCAGAATGTGATTTCCATTCAATTCACAAATATAAATACCATCAAAATATTACATTTTTTGGCTCTAATATTGCAATGATAAAACAAAAAGTAAGAATTGCTTTCGAGCATATTTATTTAAATTAAAGGGACTTTTCTGACTTTTGAATTTTTATGCTCGCGATTGCCCCCTCAGGCCAAAAGCATAACGGCAGCTTCAATAGTAGGCTCGTGCACGAGGCGCGCATGCTGTACGTGCACACTCCTTCATGAAAATAACAGCTGAGACAGTCCCGTGTGTGTGCCCCGGAGGACAGAAGAACACAACAAATTAATAAAAATAATGTGCCTCTGTCTCTGCAGCTGCACTTTCTCGTCGGCCGGCCGAACGTGCAGTGTGTGGTGTGTGTGTGGGTGGGGCCCGGAGGACAGAGGACAGGAGAACGTGCAGCTAATTAATTAAATAGTTTGGTTCTGTACCTTTCTCTTCAGCACAGCCGACAAAGGTTTATGATGGGTCAGTCCTGCATGCTCAGATCATTCCCTTCCCTTGCTTGAAAAATTGTTCCAAAATGAAAGTTGAACCCACATCTTTTTTATCTGTGAATTCAACGCCGTTCGGCGAGTCTCAAATAAAAATTTGGGCGTTTTACTGTAAAAAAGTATACCATTAATGTAAAAAAGAAACTCCAAATAAATTGTGTTCACACCCAGAATCGAACCCAGGACTTCTGCATGAGAGTCAGACATCTTACAGGGTGAGCTACGTGCCAGTAACATTTGGTGTATCTGTAACTTTTATATCGTTGATGACAGCTGAAACAACATCAATCCAAAGAACGGTTCGGAGCGAAAATGGCTGTTTTGTTGCTAATTAGCAGGAAATATCTAGAAGAAAGTTCTACAGAAAGTAGCTAAGGGTCCTCAGAAATGTAGCTAGCTTTGTCACTAGGCGTTAGGAACAGCGACAAAGTGGCACTGCCTCTCTCTCTGCTGCTAAAGCTACGGATAGCAAATGCTACGGGCTATGCCTGAGCGTGAACGCGCATGAAGCAGCCTGCTCGACCCGAGCATCTCTCTTTTTCTGTGATTTTACAGAAAAACAGGCAATCACAGTAAAAATGCCAGGGCTCATTCTACAGGACCAGGGCATTGCAGGAGAACGTATGAAGAAGAACTTTATTATTTCTATACATGTTTTGGCTGTCAAACTTCCATAATGTCCCTTTAAACATGTACGCAGACTTTTTCCTGAGTTGTTTTACTGAAAGGGACCGCCTGAATGTTTCACACAAATACACTGCTACAACACCAAACACTGCCACATTGGACACTCTTACTTCCAATTATTATAACTCTGCAACGTTTGTGCCAGCTACTACAAGAAGGGTGTAGGGAGCCAAAGTCACGCCCATCTACTTCCAAATAATACTGGAACGATACCTCTTTCTGGGCTGCCACATTACTGTGGTGGAGGGGTTTGAGTGTGCCAATGATCCTAGGAGCTATGTTGTCTGAGGCTTTATGCCTCTGGTAGGGTCACCCATGGCAAACAGGTCCTAGGTGAGGGATCAGACAAAGAGCAGCCCGAAGACCTCTTATGATAATATAAATGGACAGTGTTCCATTTCTATAGGCCATTTAGAAAGTGGATTTATGCTGTAGATGAAAGGTTATTATGTTGATCAATATATAGGTGAAAATTGACCCTTTTGGAAGTTACACCTGCTGATTGAAATCAGTTGTGTTGAGGCAGGGTTAAAAGTAAAACATGCTGGATACTGGCCCTCGAGGCCCGGAACTGAATAGCCCTGCCATAGGCTCACCACTTGTGGGAGGGGCCAAAGGGGTTGGGTGCAATGTGTGATGGGTGGTAGCCGAAGATGGGGACCTTGGCAGTCTGATCTCAGCTACAGAAGCTGGCTCTCGGTACGTGGGTTACCCATGGTGGGTAAGGAGCCTGAGTTGTAGGGATGTGAATCTTAAAGCAACTCACAATTTGATTCGATTCAGATTCTCGGGGTGCCGATTCGATTCAGAATAAATTCTCGATTTAAATCGATTCACAATCAATATTAACAAAGAGTCTCAGCTCCAGGATTAACTACTTTGTTGTGCAAGTTAGTTAAAGCTATGGGAATTTTTTTATTTTACTTTAAACTGGTCATGCAAAAAAAAAAGCTAATTTACAAGTAAAATAAAGTGATTCTAAAACTGTAAACAGAAACAATCTTTAGACCAAATGGCAACTTTTTTTTTTGCTTATCTTGTAAAATATAACAAATCTTTAGTTACCTAACAGTAGCTTTGAAAATAATACAGTCAAATACTTTTTAAGTAACTCTGGAAACATGTTTAACATTTGAGTCTTCAACCTGTTTAAAAAAAGTGCCTCAGATTTCTTACAAAGGAAAATGTGTTCTCTCATTTATCAATAACTTAAAATAAACACATGAGTAATCCTGAGTACTCACTTATCAACTTAGAAAATAAATATGAGAATATCTCAAATTTCTGAGTATGGAAAAAAATGACATTCTAGTCCCCACTTTTCAGCAGATTCAAAAATAAATCATCCCAATTTATGGGACCACAAAAGTAAATGGAGTACTGACTCTCCTAACAAAGACCAAAAAACATACAAAAGTGCATATCAAACCTGTAACATGCCAAAAATTTGAGTTCCTGGAATCGATTCTGAACCTTTATAAATAAGAATACCCGATTAAGACTTGAATCGATTTTTTTCAGCACCTCTACTGAGTTGGTGTGAGAGGTTGAGAGGTTTTGAGTAGATATAGTCAGACTCACCTCGACACATGGCTCTGGCTCCGGAACCAGTTTCCTTAAGAGGGGATGGACACTCTACCACTCTGGAATTGCCCCCACTGAGAGGCGCAGAGCAGGGGTGGGCATACTAGTTTAGCGGACTGCGAGGAAATAGGTTTAGCTTTTGCCTCTACCAATGGGGGTGCTAAAAGCAATACAAAAATGCATATTCTCCCTTTAAGCCGCAGGGGTGCCTAATCCTGGTCCTGGAGGGCCGGTATCCAGCAGGTTTTGTGGTTTTTCTGCTCCAACACACTTGAATCAGTGTTGAAACACCTGTGCAGAAGCTCATCAGGCTCTGCAGAAGCCTATTAATTAGCTGCTGATTGAAATCAGATGTGTTGAAACAGAGTTCAAACTAAGGCCCTGTCCACACGTAGCCGGGGATCTGCCAAAACGTAGATATTTTTCTACGTTTTGGCCTGTCATCCACACGAAAACGGAGTTTTTTCACACAAAAACGGATCTTTTTAAAAACTCCGGCCAAAGTGAAGATCTGAGTTTTCTCCGTTTTGGGTGTCTGCGTGTAGACGGACAAAACCGGAGTTTTAAGGTCCGCAACGTCACTTTCCACGACAAAAAATGCTGACATCACGTGTGCGACCTGTGTTTACACTAGCCGACAGCATGGATGCCCTCAGAGCTGCGCTCGCTTTATCAATTGTCCAAGCGCTTTTTGCTTGTTTGTTTTTGCAAGCGGAATTACTGCTCCTTGCGGAAGACCACAGACGAAGGACGAGGTTAAGAACGGGGGAAGTACTGCCGCCTACAGGTCTGGCATGTCCTTAACAACGTATTTATCCGGGTACGTGTGGACAGAGCTTTTTTTTTAAACGAGGTGGTGTGGATGCAAGTTTTTGGAGGGGCGGATATTTGTTTTTAAAAAACCCGGCTACGTGTGAACTAGGCCTAAAACATGCAGGATACCTGCCCTCCAGGACCAGGATTGGGCACCCCTGCTTTAAGGAGTCATTCTTTTGAGTTAGTTACCTTGACAATGCATGTATGATTGTGAAATAGGAATGCACGTTTTTCAAAATGTGTGAACGACTGAGACCCTGTTCACCCATTCTACTACTAGATGCTGTTCCTACGAATGGTTAGAAGTTTTCTTATCCTTAGAAACTTTTTCACGCACGAGTACAAAATGACGAATGCTCAACAATGCGTAAATTAGTTAATACACACAGATCTGTGTGTAAGTACGGTTGATAAATGAGGCCCCAGGTTTGAAGTCTAGGTGTTATAGTTTAATAATAGGAGTAGATTAGAATGATCATGGAGTGGAAAATTTGTTTGGAATTGCCCTTTCCTAATCAAGGACAATAAATGCAAGGACAATATTTGTAGACTTCAGCTCAGCATTTAACAAGGTCTGCCCAGCTCTCCTTCAGGACAAGCTATCTGTGCTGAACGTGCCCAACCCCATCTATCCAGTGGATCACAGACTTTGACAGATAGGATACAGAACGTGAGGCTGGGAAAAAGTCTCAGACACCCGAACCACCAACATTGGAACCCCCTGGAACCCCCCAGGGCTGTGTCCTCTCTCTACTCTTCTCCCTCTAAACTAACTGCTGCACCTCTAACTGCCACACGATAAAACTGGTCAAGACACCACCCTCATTGGCCTTATCTCAGATGGGGATGTGTCTGCATACAGAGGAGAGGTGGAGTGCCATGCTGGTGCAGAAACAACAACCTAGAGCTGAACGAGCAGATGACAGTGGAGATGATTGTAGACTTCAGGAGAACACCAGCTCCACTGCCCAGAATAACCATGACACAGACATCCAGATTTCAACCGTGAACTCCTTTCGCTTCCTTGGGTCCACCAAAGAGGGAGGGGTCCATCAATACCCTCATCAGGGAGGCCCAGCAAAGGACGTTCTTTCTGCATCAACTGAGGAAGCTCTGCATGCCATGATGATCCAGTTCTACATGGCCATCATCAAATCAGTACTCACCTCCTCCATCACTGTGTGGTACACAGGAGCCACTGCCAGAGACATACAAAGACTGCAACGGGTAGTGCACTCAGTGTAGAAAGTAATAGGATGCAGCCTTCCATCAGTACATGACCTGTACAACTCCAGGGTTCTGAAACGTGCAGGTCGAATAACAGCTAACCCCTCTCACCCTGGTCATGGACAGTTTGAAACCCTACCTTCAGGGAGGAGGTTCAGGCCCTTACAGTCTAGAACCTCACACCACAAAAACAGCTTCTTCCCCTCTGCTATAAGGCTCCTGAACAACAAATGAATGGCCAAAACACACACAAATGCCCCGGTAGGGCTGAACGATCTATTGTTTTTGGACCGAAATAGCGATTTCAAACAGCACGATCACGTGACCGTCAAAGCTGCGGTTTTAGAGGTTTTGACTGATCCAGGATCAGTTGTGTCACTTTTTTTTTACATCCGGGGTTTTCCCCATGTTATGGTGGCGGCAAAGGCCAGCGCGAGGGAGGGGGTGGGGAGTACCGTCCAGAGCCGAGCCCAACTCCACAGATGCCAGAGCTGCATGTTCATGTTATTTTCCCTGTTTTATGTTTCCACACACAGCGCTGCTAGAGCCGGTAATAATGGCACCGTTGGTGAGCCGGGGACAGAGAGAGAGAACGTAGTTGAGTAAAGCCTGATTTTTGCTTCTCCGTCTGCGTCAGTGCGGAGACACGCAACGCCATTATCCGTCCTTGCGTAGGGCTCCGGCAGGCACGCAAGTATGTACGGAGTCGAGCCCACTTTTTTAAACATCTGTCGAACGAGACGGATTACGCAAGCTTGTGATTGGTCAGGACGCTGCTGTTGTTTACAGCGCCGCCATTGCAAAGAGAGCCGAGGATAACTAGCGGCAGACACAGAGAAGCTTGAAGAATACCTCGCGAAAAAACTCTAAAAATATGAACGTTTCATCCTCCCGTGACTGGAGGAGTGAAAAGATACGCAGCAAGCGTTTTATTTGTGGACGGAAATGACAGGAAACGTGGGTTTAGAGGTGGGGAGCGCATGAAGCGGTGGGAGAATGAGAGACAAATATGTCCGTGTTAAAAGTCTCTTATATACACAAAAAACACAATATAAACACACTATCTTGGACCGATACATGACAGGATACCACAGAACAGCGCTACGCCCTCTGTTGCCCTGCTGGGCAATTGCTTTGCAACGTTCCCCAGGAGACGGAGAAGTATGAGAGCAAAACGCTTCCGTCAATCCGTGCGTGTCTGTCCCTTGCGGAGCTGACGGAGAAGCATGAACCAGGCTTAAGGGAGAGAGACACTCCTCCCACGTCGGTGCAGGTTCAGACTGATTTCTAAAGCTTGGTTTATGCTTCATCAGCGCGAGTGCGGAGTTGCGCACTTTAAGCTCAACTTCTCTTTTAAAAATGGTTTGAATGTTTATGAAGGCACAAGTTTGTTCAAACAAGCTAAGGCGTCAGAATGCGTGCATCTCTGTCACAGAGCTGACGTTTTAGTGAGGAAAAAATATCAGACGGCTTAGAAAACATGCAGCCAGCCTGCAGCGGTAATGCAGGGAAAACTGTGCATTTTTTATTTAATACATTTAAAAGCTATTTCTACCTACAGATTTCCTCCATGCATTTTTGGAGTAGAACATGTTTTTATAAATCTCCTCTCTAGATAAAAATCACAAGCACAAGTTGCTTCACACACACACACACACACACACACACACACACACACACACACACACACACACACACACACACACACACACGCACGCACGCACGCACGCATTAAAAAAAAGATAATGAGAGAAAATTTGAATATCTTTAACTGTTTTTATTGTATGATTAAATAGTAAATTTTAATGTGAATGATTTGTTGTACTAGATCCGAATTTAGACCATCTTTTCACTTAATCTACAGGATGGCTTGGCAGGCTTGGACCGTTGTTTGCAGAAAATCGTGAATTGAACCGAAATCACAATTTCTGCTAGAAAAATTGCAATTCAATCTTTTCCTAAAATTGTTCAGCCCTATACCCTGGTCACCCACATTCCTACGCTAATGATTTCTTTATGGCTATTTCTCTTTTCTGATTAGTGGATGTATCCTAATGTACATACAGTCTGACCTGACTTTGATTTGAATTTAAGTTTGCACCTTGCCACCTAAACAAATTCCTAGTAGATGAGCCTCTCACCTACATGGCAATCAATCTGATTCTGATTCTAATTGTAAACCAACTTCAGCTTCATATGAAAATGTAGTACATCTGCTAATGTATATTGTTTAAAACTAAATCAGATAAAAGTTAGTGGTCCAACACAGAAAAAAGGACTGGGAATTAGCAATAACAAAGAATGTGTATAGAATGTTTACTACAACAACAACTTAGTGAACAACAAATATAACATGTTACACAGTTTGACTCACCTCATGACTTTTTTCGCAGTACGTGCCGAGTTACACAAAACAATCCACTAAAATACAAAGACACGTGTTAATGTTGCTTGAAACTTATTTTGAAACGGTACATACTGAGGGTCATCGTGTAGCTAGCTAACAATTCTAGCTAACGTCATAATTTTCAGCAGCGCATAAAGGAAATAATTGGAAAAAGTAATGTCAATCATTGTTAAAAACTGAAATACTACTTTTACTCACCGTGTTAGTTACAACTTGATACCCATGAGCGTGTTTCCAAACGAAGAAAGATAATCAACCGTTGTTACTCGTGAGCGAGCAGTCTGGTGTAAGTACTGAGCTGTTGCGCATGTGCAAGGCTGCCGCTGTCGGCACAGGATCTGCTCGGGTGCAGACCTCGCAGAATTTTTTTTTAAATATAACTTTATTTAGCACATTTTCAACATACAATTGTAAGACATGAAACCAACACATAAAGTATACCATTGTGGTATTACAACGAAGAATGACAAATAATGGAGACATGGAGAAAAAAGGAAAATAAATAAATAAATAAATAAATAAATAAATAAATAAACAAATAAATAAATAAATAAATAAATAAATAAATAAAAGAAAGGTTTGGAAGAGGTCAAGTCAATCGAACAGTTTCAGATGGTTGCAAATGTTAACAGACTTAAGAGCCTTGGTGTTTTTTGATGAGGAGATCGTCCTTATATATTGTTCAAGTTCCATTTTTAATACAAGAAGTTCAGGTTTTTTGCCGAGGACTTTGCTCTTGTGTATGTGAAATTTAGCCAAAAATAAAAACATATTTACAAAGAAGAAAGCATCGTTGTCCTTCTTATTAAAATTATGAAGACCAAAAATAACATCTTTGTAGTATAGTTGAAAGTTAGGGAGAACAGAGTCATTAATAAACTAACTTGTGGAAGTCCTTCCAGAATTTACTTGTAAATTTACATGACCAGAACAAGTGAGAAGCTGTTTCAGGTTGCTCTTGACAAAAGGTACAACTTACATTTATATCAGCTATAAATTCTGACAAATATTGTTTGGTAGGGTAAAACTTGTGAATCAATTTAAATGTAATCTCTTTAACTTTGTTCGTTAAAAGAAATTTTTGTGGTAAGGTCCAAACTTTTTTCCATTAAATATCTGTTACAAAATTAGCCCAATAAGATATAGTTGATGGAACAGAAATCATTGTATCCTGAAAGAGAGTTCTTATTTTTCTATTCACCGACTTATGCGAGGAAAAACAAACGTTGCCAAGAGAAGAATGTAACACATCCGGGCGACTGACTGGTAGTGGAGCGCTGTGTGAGCATCTGAACAACATAGACAGACCGGATGGGATGGCATCAAACACTATTGAGAATTCTCTAGGCGTTATTGGTATATTGTATTTCCTAAGGAATTCAGAGTAATTGTATAAAAGCCCTTTTTCATCAAATAACTGGCTAACCAAGATGATTCCATTATTAAACCAGTTATTTAAAAAAATAGTTTTATTTTTATAAATAATATTGCAGTTATTCCAAATAAAACAGTTTTGCAGACCTCGCAGAATAGCTCAGGGTCCTTCGACTGCCGATGACGTCACATTACTGCAAATCTACTTGGCTTTCACACACAATACATCAGTAGTTTTGTTAATAAATTCTTGTTTGTTGAAACCTAAATGATTTCTTTATAATTGTAATTTGTTAATAAAACACCATATTATCTTTGTTTTGTAAAGAATGTGAAACTGCATAAAACCAACATCGGACTGACAAAAAATAGAACAGTTCTTAAATGTGAAGCCACATCTGTTTGTATTGATGTGGAGTTCGTCTGTATATTTCCTTAGTTGTTATCTAAATACATTCTTTGACTCAAAATGTCGCTTGGTGTCTTTCAATAAAGTTCTTATATTTTATTTTGCCCCATTTCATCAACATCAAGAGCTTTTGAGGGTCACCGTTTATCATTAGCTTATATTTAACATTTCATTTAGAAATTCAAACATATTTTCTCCAAAAAGTGTTGATTTTTGGACTACAGGACTACAACCGCTAAGGCTACGACCGCAAATTTGTTCTGACCAATCAAAATCATAACGTAACGTAACTTCCGTAAGCTTCATGTTCAGCCAATCAACTACTTTGACGTCATCGGCAGTCGAAGGACCCCGAGCCGATCCTGCACCCGAGCAGATCCTGTACCGACACCGCCATACTGAATGGGTCTCCTCACTCTCCAAAGTCAAAGCAGAGTGGGCAACTATGTCCATTTCTGTGCAGCCTACGGTTCAAACAACCTGTGTGAGAAAACAGATCACGTGGGATTAATAGGGACCTCTCTAGCCTACCTGATAGAATTTTATATTTAAATGTATTTAAATTTAATCTGTTTACTTCTATGAAAATTTTAATTGTCATGCCATATCTTGTGTATGATTTTGTGCAAAAGCTTGATAAAATGTGTTTTTTATAAGCACCTTACTCAGTATAAATGAATGCAGTGGGGTCAAATTGAGACCCATCTAAAATGGTGGCCGCCCACTGCGGCAGCGCCAGTCTATGGGGCGTCTACCTATACGATGTCTGTACAAGGCTCTGCTACCAGTAGTGCGGAAAACAGTTAACGGGCATTATTAGTTTAGCTAGTTTGATTTATATTACATGCAATTCAATAATAAATGTTTGAGTATTCAACTAGTCACATTTAGTCATATTTAAATCTGTGGGTTTTGTTGTTGCTGTTTTCTAAAATAAAAACCAAATCAAAACTTGTACCAAAAGTGAACAGTTAGAAAGAAAAAAGCTACATCAGATGTTTATTTATCTTTAATCAGAATGTTTGATTTTTCTTCTTCTTCTTCATCAAAAATGTTTATGCTTGACTGGTACTACTCACATACAACGTATAATATTTTGTCATGTAATTAGCATTAAGAAAATTTTTGGTCATAAACAAAACCAGTGGTTTTCAATATTCCTCCTGTTATCCAGCATGTTTTTGTTGTTCCTCTGTTCCAACACACTTGATTCAGTGGTTTTTTCAGCGGCTTATCAGCATCGTCTTTAATCTCCTGTTGATTAAATTAAAGTGTGTTGAAGCAGGGCAACAACTACAACATGCTGGATATATGCCCTCCAGGACCAGTATTGAGAACCCCTGCACTAAACGCTCAGTCTATAGCACACAGAGTTATGGATAGTGGATTTCCACAAGGGAATATATAGATAAACAACTGTTACTAGTGGACATTCAGGGAGTGGAGTGTAGTACATTGTACAACCATCACTGCTACAAAAAAATGTGATATAACAGGCAGTTTGGCCTGTTCCTCTTTGCAGCACATCTCAAATTTGAATTCTCAGCATTGGTACAGCCATTTAAGATCTCTTCAGAGATGTTCAATTAGATTTGATTCTGGGCTCTGGCTGGGACACTCCAGGACATTCACTGAGTTGTCCTGAGAACAATCCTTTGTATCCTGGCTGTGTGCTCAGTGTCATTGTACTTCTGAGAGTGTTGCCCCAGTCTGAGGTCAAACGTATTCTGGAGCAGGTTTTCATTCATGATGCCTCTGTACTTTGCTGAAACAATATTTTACTCTATCCTGACCAGTCAACCAGTTCCTGCTGCTATAAATCTTCCCTCAGCATGATTTTTCCACTATCATGCGTCACTGTATTTATGGTATTTACATGTTGATGAGTGGTGCCTGGTTTCATACAAAACCACGCCTGGCATTCACACCTAAGAGTTCAATCTTTGTCACATCAGACCAGAGAATTTTGGTCTCTTGGTCTTGAGAGTCCTTCAGATGCCTATTGGCCAAACTCCAGATTTATAAATGAGGCCCCTGGTGGTTTCCAACCTTTTACTTTGGAGGCTACTGTGCTCACTGAGACCTTCTAAGCAGCAGAAAATGGTCTGTAACCTTCTCCATATTTGTGCCTTGACCTCACACTTGGTTTGTGCACTGACATGCACTGTAAACTGTGGGCACTTATGACGAACTTTACACACTGTTACAGTTTGAAATAGCATACAATGCATTACAGGTACAGAAAAAAAACTAGCATGAAATACATTTAAAAAAAACGGTCAAAAACGTATAACACATAAGACTTAATCCTATATTTTGAATAACCAGATGTATGTCTGGTGTCACTGTTAGTGAAAATCAAACTTTAAACATCTCATTATTAAACCTACACACACATTCATAAATAAAATTTCTCATGTTCTCACGGTCTCTAATTCAGAGACACAGTGCTTCACAAACAAACGACTTGTGTTAGAATACATGGGCAGCTTTAAAACAATTCCAAAAACATTAGGGCATGTAGAGGAGTACTGGCCTAGAAAACCATCCTATATATGTGAATATATAGGTGTTTACTTCTGAAACAGTATGTCTAGATTTTTAGGCTAGAGATTGTAATAACAAAGTATTATTGTATTGTAACAAGCTCTGAAACAGGGGTCACCAACCTGGTGCCCCAGGAACCCTATAAGGTCATGTTTCCCAACCCTGGTCCACAGGACACGCTGACTTGCATGTTTTCCATGTCTCTGCTTCAGTACACATGATTTACATTGCCTTCTGAGGAGGACATTTTTCTTTTATTCTTTATTTAAACAGGAAGGTCCTATTGAGATTAAAAACCAAGGGAGTTCTGGCCAAGACATGAAGTGCTGCAGATGCATGTTAATCACTCTTTCATTTAAGTCAGGTTTGTGGCAGCAGGGAAACACTGATGTTACATTGAAAACATGCAGGACAGTGTGCCTTGATGACCAAGGTTTGGGAAACACCGCTATAAGGTGCCCTCAGGCCTGTTCCAAAGAGCCCAATTCACCCCTCATCAAACTCTAAAAGATTATTTTCTGTTGCTTTTTTAATAATTTCACTTTATTTCATTAAAAGATATCAACAGAGATGGCTTACAGACCTGTGGGAACTACAGAAGAACAAAGCTAATGAGATATAAGGTGAAGCTCTGGGAAACAATGGTGGAAGCTATGGGTTAGGTCATAATCAGAATGGTTTGATGCAAAGAAAGTGTACTACATGCTACTTTTTCTTTAAGGATGCTGATGGAGAGGTACAAAGAGCAGAATGATGTGAATTTTATCTTTGTAGATTTAGAGAAAGTGTATGATGTGCTGAGATAGCTGTGGTTCATGAGGTCTGGAGTGGCAGAGACGTCTGTTAGAGTGGTGCAGAGCGTGTGCTGTAGGAGTGACAGAAGAGTTCAAGGTGGAGGTGGGAATCTCTATTCATGCTTGCTTTGGTGATGGAAAGGCTGATAAATTAAGTTATGCAAGAGTCTCCATGGTGTTTGCAGATGACATAATCTGCAGTGAGAGCAGGGTGCAGGTAGAGAAGAAGCTAGAGAGGTGGTGATGAGTACTGGTGATGTTACTGTGAGTAGAAGTAAAAAAG